GGCGTTGGAATACGTAGTGGTGTACGATTTAGTGTAAGATTAAGGCGCGGCTTCTATTACATTTAGAAGAATTGGGTTTCAAGTATTAACAACACGTTCATATCCCGTTTCTTATATAAATGTCTTTATCACAACATAAAAATGTTTCTATTTGTCCCTTGCCGGGAATTATCGCATTGCCTAACTTACATCAATGACATAAACTGTTTATTTGCAGGTCAGGTCGGTAAATACTACAATTTCTGTCACATACGACTTAAATGATACAAAGAACATCTTTATCAAAACCCTTTACCACGGATTGGAGTTAAACTGACAATCGCACAATTGTTCATATTCTTGTGAGTGAGTATTGTTTTACTTGTGATATGTCACGTGACTTGCATTAACTGAGGCTTTGTTCTTTGAATATGAGGGATTTATTCTGCCTCTCGGAAACCTACGTGCAGTCTGTATTGCTGTGGCGAGGTATAAGAGATTTATTCCCTCGCTGAGAAATGTATTACCCTCCAAGGCGGGTTACACAGTATTTTATCAAGATCACGTGGACCAATCAGATCCCATCATTCTGAAATGGACGTTTGATAAAACCATTTAATGTGCTTTCTGTCACATCAAACTATCATCTCTCTCCATGTAAGTGTAATACTCAAATGTTAGAAGATAGCATCACATGTGCAACAATTTCATAGTCATTTTCTGTTCTAAACAGTTTGGCTGTAACTGTAAGAGTGAGTGAGTGAGTTTGATTTAACGCCGATTTGGACATTATGTCAGTTACATCACAGCCTGTCAGCTTGATGTTAGAGGAAAACTTTACTAAATGACTTTTACCACTTTGCTGACACATTTCAACCAGTAATCTTCCGGGGTAGAATAGGTCTTCAGCAACCCATGCTTGCCGTAAAAGGCGACTATGCTTCTCGTTAAAAGGCGACTAACAGGATCGGGTGGTCAGGCTCGCTGACTTGGTTGATCCATGTCATCGATCCCAATTGCGTGGATCGATGCTCATGATATTAATCACTGGATGGTCTGGTCCAGACTCGATTATTTACATACCGCCGTCATATAGCTAGAATATTGCTGAGTGCAGCGTTAAACAACAAACCAACCAACCAGTAATCTCCACGGTGCATGAGAGGAAGTTAGCAAATGAATGTGATAGGGAACGAGAGACGCCGATAACTTCCAATAATTGTTTTTACTAGGAAATTCTTTTTCCATGAACAGTAGACGCTCCTAAGAAACTAAGCTGACCGCCTACGTGGTCTAGTGGATAAGGCGTTTGTCCGGAGAGCGGTCGGACCCGGGAAGATCCGGGTAGAGAATAGGTCTTCAGCAACCCATGCTTGCCATAAAAGGTGACTATGCTTGTCGTAAAAGGGGACGTACAGGATCGGGTGGTCAGGCTCGCTGACTTGGTTGATGCATGTCATCGATCCCATTTGCGCGGATCGATGCTTATGATATCAATCACTGGATTGTCTGGTCCAGACTCGATTATTTACAGAACGCCGTCATATATAGCTGGAATATGCCAGAGTTTGGCGTTAAACAACAAACCAACCAATCAATTGTTCCCCGGCCGCGTCATACCAAAAGAGGTTAAAAATTGGTACTTCGTGTTACTCTGCCCGGTTCTCTCCATTAGGCCAGGTTCACATTGTGCCGATTATGGCTCCCGTTTGAGATCAGACAGCGCTACGACACGAAAAGTGAAAAAGTCGGACTACCATCCTCATTGATCACGAATGTCCTATCAATGTCTGAATGAGTCCTACGGATCGGGAAAGGTCCAGAGAGTTTGGCCAAGTACTCCCGACAGTATGGTGCGTCCCGTAACATTCAGGAAACATTTTGACTAGCCGGATTACAGTCGTGACTATGTCGTGACAGATTCTGCTGTATCGGATCAAAATCGTCCATATAGCTGGAATATTGCTGAGTGCGGCGTTAAACAACAAACAGACCTATGGATCGGGACGCTGTCGTGATGAACGGACATGAATTGTTCATTGCCGTTTCTTGTCGATCGAGTCCAGATTGCGTCCATATCTTACCGAATGCGAACCGTCTTTGTCGGTTCATTGTCCGGTCACTGTCTGATCTCTTTCGGGTCGCATTTGGGAGAATCGGAACGCTGTCAGGACAGATTCTGTCGTTTTTTATCAAGCGGAAGATACAAATCGGATCAGATTCGGATTGAGAACGGGACAATCGGGACGATTTCGGCTGGAAACGGCTGAATCGGGACGCTTCCCGTACAATATCTGATTATTTGTGAATTTCCCGCACGAATCACAGGATCTTGATCAGACTTTTGACAAATTTTAATCGGGAAAAGTCCTATCAAGGACGGCAGTAAAAACCCTGAATGTGTGACTGAGCCATTAAGGGGCTAAAACAAGGACTGGTCAGCTCGGAGTCAGAATATTGTGTCTGAGTGGGATATTCCTGTTAAACTGCGGCATGATATCTGAGTGGGCTAGCATTATACATTTCACCTCACCTAGAAACGATACTAAGCTCGTGTCTACAATTTATCCCGGTCGAGTTTCCCTGACACGCGTGTGACATGAATGAGCACTGCACTTTGCAGCAAATATCACACACTAAACACGTGGGGATTGGGGCGCTGCTGTGTTTGTAATGGCGAGGTGCCACGGGGCCGATCTGCGTACAGCTTGGGTCAAAACCAACAGAATACAGGTTACCCTGGTCAAACAGACAGACAGACAGACAGACAGACAAGTTTAGTTTTGTCTCAAGCGTAGAATACACTTACAATATATCAAAAGTAGTATAAACCTGAAATTCTACAACTAGTCGCTAGACGACTTACGAGAGACAATATGTCATGAAAGTAAACAGTAATACACAGCGATAGGATATTTACATATATACATCAATGATATAAAATTGAACGTCACTTTGCTAAAATGTTATGGCAGGTTTTGGCCACGCAAGAAATAAAATCAACGTTTGATAAAATCTGGGTTAATTTTTAACTTTAAGAGTAATTATTAAAATTAGTAAATGTAAGACTTCAGCGTTTAAGAAGATCAGCCGTTACGTCGTCGTATAAAGGGGAGATAAGTAAAACATGGATCTCGTCTTCTACCTGTTCTGTACAACTAAAGTGATATATCTCTTCTGGTGGTATGTTTGTGTAACATCCAGTCTCTATCTTTAAAGGCGCCACTCCGCATCTGAATTTAGCTGGAGAGCTCCTGTAAGCACGGTTGAGAGGGTATTCCACGTGTTTTTCTGTGCTATAGATTTTCTTAAACAACCTGTAGTTTCTTTGTTTATTTCTTCCACGGTTTCCTTTGTCCAACAATAATTTGTCCCTCCATTTAGTCTTCTATTCCAACATAGGGCGTCCTTGTACCGTTGCATCAACCAACTTTGTTTCAATTTGGGCATTTATGCCTGTCAAATGTCCCAGGTCGATTCTCTCTAGACATGACGTCACTTTGGCATTCCAGCTCCTCTTGCAACTGCTTGACCACACAAATATCTTCTTAGTTATTCTTCTGTTTGGAGTGTTGACAAGTCTGGCTCAGTGTCTTGAGACTGTTGTCCATGATCTGATACATGGCGGGATCCAACCCACTTCCCCATTTATTGCAATGTTTGCTGCATATTTTCCAAGTCCTAGGAAAAATCGAATATCTCGGTGGCGGATAGCATTGGCAGCAGAATACACTGTCGTTCCCCATGTTGCCGACCTATAGTTTAAAACCGACCATACCATAGTGTTGTATAGTTTGGTAAACTTACTACCAAGTCCTTTGTATTTAGAAATTAAAAGTCCCAGGGATGTGTTTGCGGATTTCGCCGCACATTCAGCCATTGCGTTACAGTGTAGGTGTTCGGTTAAAAGCACACCAAGATAGTGAGTGGGTTGTGTTTAACGCCCCTATTAACAGTATTCCAGTTATATCGCGGCGTGTCAGCTTCATGTGGGAGAAAAGCCCGAAGTGATGCAGGTCTCAGACGTTTACCACTTTGGTGAAACCCACGAGCACGGGTATGGTGCTGACAAACCTAGAAACATAATCGGGGCGAACCGGGATTCGAACCCACAATCATAGGCTTCTGGCGTGCCCAAGGGACGCAACTCTGCACAGCGAATCGCGGCGCTCAAGACGACTGGGCCACCCGTTCCCCCCACACCAAGATAATGATACGAATTTTCAACGCTTAACAGAAACGCAATAGAAAACCGTTGCTGTTCTTGGAATGCTAGGGCCTCTAAAGTGGACAATCCTGGATTTTTCTGAGTTTATATACATCTTATTATCTTATCTTATGTGTTCAGGGCTGATAAGAGAGTTTGCACTGTCTGCCAATAGAACAATATCGTCTGCATAAGCTAAAGCAGCAATATTTTCCTCTTCGGTTTTAAGTCCCTTTCCAAGCTCGTTGATGGTCGTTAGTTAGTCATTAATATACATATTAAACAACAACGATGATAGAAGACATCCCTGTTTCAGTCCTTTACTCACAGGAAACCATGATGTATAAACGTGATTTATGCGCACAAAGCATTTCATGGTAAAACTCCAGGCGGGTACCTTGTTAACATCGGATTTTGTAGTCTGTTTGTTTGTTGTTTAACGCCGCACTCAGCAAAATTCCAGCTATATGATGGCGGTCTGTAAATAATCGAGTCTGGAAAAGACAATCCAGTGATTGACGTCATGGGCATCGATCTACACAACTGGGAAACGATGACATGCATCAACAAAGTCAGCGAGTCTGACCACCCGATCCTGTTAGTCGCCACTTGTAAACGACAAGCATAAGCGCCTTTTACAGCAAGCGTTGATCGCTGAAGACCTTTTCTAACCCGGATGGTCACGGGTAACGGGTTATGGGTACAACGGCAATAGGGGATTACTGTCGGGGATCATTTCAGTTTCTTTTGGACGTTTTCAATATTGCCTGCAGAGTATAAAGACTAGCTGCGGATCAGTCTGGTGACACTCTGTGCTGCCCTTGTCGGTCGCGTGAGGCGCTCCCTTTGTAACAGTCCACAAAAGGCTAAAAATACATTGGGTTACTAGGGCATGTACAGTCGCCCTAAGACGGATACACCATGAGTAGGAAGATGTGGAGTGAGGATTTATGCTGGCTGATGCATGCTGTATTTCCCATCATTCTCATGTGTACATTGCTGCCCCACCTGGCCAGGGGACAGTGTGTCCCCCCGGGAAGTACCCCCGGGCTGCGGGAGCTGGTGCTGGGGAGATGTACCGAGTACCAGGCCACCGTAAACCCTGCACAGTTCTGTGACAAAGAGTAAGTGGAACACGTCGATTGTTTGTTTGTTGTTAAACGCCGCACTTAGCAATAGGCCAGCTATATGACGGCGGTCTGTAAATAATCGCGTCTGGACCAGACAATCCAGTGATTGATCCCGCTTGTAGCCTCTTACGATAAGCATGGGTTGCTGAAGAACAATGTTAACCCGGATCTTCACGGAACACATGCATTGGTATACCATGACATTCTCTGCAACTATTTAGGGTGGAGATAAAGCCCAAACGATAAAGCGTTCTCTCGTCGCGAAGAAAGTCCGGGTTCGATTCCCCACATGGGTAAAATATGTGAAGCCCATTTCTGGTTTCCCCCGCCGTGATATTGCAGGAATATTGCTAGAAGCGGCATAAAACCATACTCATTCACCCACTGTGCCAATGTTTGAGACGGACTGGGGCCTCCAGTGTTACAGGACGTCCGAAATGACACTGTTCAGATTCAGATTATTTATTTCTCCATAGACCACCGACGGTGGTACAAGAGCATACATAAAGTACAGAGATATATATAATATGTACATCAAGAAGGCTGTGTGCATTTCGATTTAGCATTCAAAGTGGTAAATACAAATAATACATATTTTGATAGACGCTTAAGCTCGTATAGTTTAGTTGTTGAAAATAAGCTTTTTAATGGAAACACATTTGACCAAGTTACAAATCTGCTAGGAATAAATAAAAGTCTTTTGTCACCAAAAGCTTGACATCGAAATATATAATGGAATTCATCAGCTATTGCCGGGGAGTTACAGAGTGAACATAGACGTTGTTCTCTGGGAACATTATCCCAGGTGTTAGGTGTGTACGCGAAACGTGATCTCGGTCGTGAGATTTCCAACATCCTTGTACACGTTAGACATCTCGCCCGCTATAGAGTTAGAATTAGTAAGAGCAGATTTAATCTATGAGATGATCAGGCTTGGTGATTATGTGTCCTCGTACCACGACGACATGGAGTCATAATCAACACATTTCCTCGTCCTCATCGATACAGTCGTCCAAAAATGGGGATTGATCATGGAGTAGTAAAATGGAACGGAGAGAATAAAAAGCAAATCTTTATGAAACATGACGGTTTTGTGAAAAGAGTGATATTAATAAACATGACGTCTTTTCAGATTTGTGGGTATTACTGAATCTCTGATCGCAGATATTTCAAATGCTACAATTTTCAGATTTACAAAAACACCGGCAAACCTAAAAACACATAATATTTATCAATGTCGTAAAATACAAGGTATATCAGTTATATGACGTCACTGAGATGTCATATGCTAAAATCTTATCAGATAACTATAGTTCAGGGATATTCATTCGAACTGAGCTATCAATTTACAAATTATTGGAACAAACCTCCGCGTCATGCTGAAAATGCTGATATTCTAAGGTGACTAAGTATCTACTGTGTCATCAATAGTAGTATAGTCTCAGTCCGCAGGAACCCCTTTTGGTTGATCCGGTTGATCCAGGCGGATGCGAAGGTGATTGGCTGATCCAAGTCACGTGTTCGGATAGGATGACTCATGCATCAACAGCGCGTCGGGAAAGGGCGGGGAATGAAAGGTGTGTGTTTATAAGGCAGAAAAGAATTCGTAAGTAAACAACATTAAAGGGTTACGAATAGAGCTATGTGTATGGCGTGCTGCCCTGAATAGACAAGCAGCCCAGTTTGAATTGAGCGCGCTTGACAACTCACGTGACCTCATCGTTTCAAATTGTTTATTGGTCATAATAGTTTCGTTTATTTCAGGCGTTAGTAGGAATTACAATTAGTGTACAACTCACGTAGTCGTTCCAAATTGACCGCGCTCGCTAGAGCGTGGCGTGCGACCTGGTTTGATGAATGCAGGGTGTGTGTTGTAAGTACGACCATACCGCAATAGAGACGGGTCAACATGATATACGCCGGGTAATGTAGGGGGGGGGGGGGGGGGGGGATGTACGTCTAGCCGGATCAAATCTATCTTATACGGTCTACACGTTTGTACACCATGAACGTTAGACAACCTGTATAGAAAAAAGAAATAGAGACAAAATAGATAAGACTACGCAATCAGCAAGCTAGCGGTGTAGTTTACATTTAGCGCGCAACAACGAGCTAATGTATAGCAGAGAGAGACTAATTATAAGCGACCGACCGCCCATAACAATGTCAACATACCCCGGCCTTACAATTAATGTCAACATACCAGCCTCGCCTGAAGCTTCCCATTCATAAATTGTGTGACCAGTGTCCCGTATTTATGATATGTTAGGGAAGATGTGTTGTACATTTGTTATTTTAAAAGGGAGTTATTTCAGAGAGGATATATAGGGGATTTCCCCTCATTAAACCTTTCTTTCGTTGGTGTCTATTAAACGTATCCGGTATTTAATACATTTGAATGATGTAGGAAAGTATGTGCGTGTAGATGTTGTACCTATATCCGAACACGAATGTATGACACCTTTCAATAGAGCGCGCTTGACAACTCACGTTATATATTCAAATAACCCGCGATCGCTAGAGCGTGCGACCTGGTTTGATGAATACAGGGTGTGTGTTGAAAGTACATCATACCACAATAGAGACGGGTCGTGTCAACATGATATAAGCCGGATAATGTAGGAATAAAAAATGTACGTCTAGCTGGATCAAATTCATCCTGTGCGGTCTACACGTTGTACACCATGAACGTTAGACAACCTGTATGGAAAAAACCACATAGAAGAAATAGATAAGACTTCACAATCAGCAACCTAGCAGTGTAGTTTACATTTAGCGCGCAAGAACGAGGTAGTCATGTCACCCTGCATTGACTATAACGCTGAAGGCAGCCGGATTTCGAATCACCCGCGCTGCGTACTATTGTGAACCATTTGTAAAGAATTATTCAGCCCTGTCCCGACTTGGATAGTTGATGTTTCAATGCTAGCGTTTCCATTTAACGCGATGACAAATAAGCCCTACGGTTTGAGTTTTAACCGTGGAACATGATGTGCACAGTTTTACTTCAGAACGTGCTATTTTGAAAATAGATAGAAAACTGATAAGTACATGTACCAGTGTGACGGCACGAAGCTAGGTTTGTTGGGAAAGTGATGGAAGCAATCTATAGGACATTTTTATGTTTACAATACTCATCCTTAATTCGAAGAGAGAACAGAGTTTATCATGGAAAATTGTTTGACGAGGAAAATGTTTTATTGGAAATATATGTCGAAGTAGGTTTATTCATAGCTAATGTATAGCAGAGAGACTAAGCGACCGACCGCCCATAACAATGTCAACATACCCCGGCCTTACAATTAATGTCAACATGCCTCGCCTGAAGCTTCCCATTCATAAATTGTGTGACCAGTGTCCCGTATTTATGATATGTTAGGGAAGATGTGTTGTACATTTGTTATTTTAAAAGGGAGTTATTTCAGAGAGGATATATAGGGGATTTCCCCTCATTAAACCTTTCTTTCGTTGGTGTCTATTAAACGTATCCGGTATTTAATACATTTGAATGATGTAGGAAAGTATGTGCGTGTAGATGTTGTACCTATATCCGAACACGAATGTATGACACCTTTCAATAGATCAATTACGGTTCTAACCACGACGCGCAACATGACTATGAGCGTGGTTAGCAGTTCATATTTATAAACACATCGTAAATGACAGATTTCTGATGAATGAACTCGCCCGCACACATGTCTATAGGGTTATGTTCGCCCGAACTGTAAACAGTGACACATTGATAACAGGAAGGGTGTGTGGAATGCACTCGTCCTTGTAAGGGTAAAATACGCGTTTAAACTCGCCACTTAAATGATGACATTACTTTTTAGATGTATTGGTATCAGTGAGTGATTGAATTTAGTTTTACGCCACACTCGGCATTATTCCAGCTCTAGGACGGTGGTCTGTCAATAAACGAGCTTGGACCAGACAATCCAGTGATCAACAGCATGAGCAGCGATCTGGGCAACTAGGAACCGATGGCGCGTGTCATCCGAGTCGGCGAGACTGACCAACCGATCCCCGTCAGTCGCCGATAAGCATGGGTTACTGAAGGTCGATTCTATAACCCGGACCTTCACGGGTGTAGTATGACGAAGACTATATACTAATATGATCGCTTTTTTAACATACTCACACATGAAGAAAGCATCAGAGATTAGACTTGACCCTAGAGATATATTTAGGAAGACTACGTTGAGAAAATCACAACAGAGAAAGAAACCACAAGCAGCCAAGAAGTCGACGCTGAAGACAAAGAAGAGACAGGTAACACCTAAAATGAAAACGATGACAACCAAACAGGAATCGAAGACAACACCCCAACCCGTGAAAATACCACATGTGTCGGAGGTGAAGGCTGTGGTGGAACCGTCACTTGCTGCCTTGAAGCGTCAACAGAGTCAAGGGTATAAAAGAAAGCTTCATACCCTCTAATCGCACACCGTATTGGATCACCATGGGGGTTGCCACCTGTCCGGACTGTGAAAAAATGTTTTCAAGGAGAGATGTCATGTTACGACACAGGAGAAATAAACATAGCATACCGCCGCCGTTACAAGCCCACCCGCCGCCGCAAGTCCACTCGCCATTACAAGCCCACCCGCTAACGCCGCCGCAAATCCACCCGCCATTACAAGCCCACCCGCTAACGCCGCCGCCGCAAGCCCATCCTATAGATTGCTTCCATCACTTTCCCAACAAACCTAGCTTCGTGCCGTCACACTGGTACATGTACTTATCAGTTTTCTATCTATTTTCAAAATAACACGTTCTGAAGTAAAACTGTGCACATCATGTTCCACGGTTAAAACTCAAACCGTAGGGCTTATTTGTCATCGCGTTAAATGGAAACGCTAGCATTGAAACATCAACTATCCAAGTCGGGACAGGGCTGAATAATTCTTTACAAATGGTTCACAATAGTACGCAGCGCGGGTGATTCGAAATCCGGTTGCCTTCAGCTTTATAGTCAATGCAGGGTGACATGACTACCTCGTTCTTGCGCGCTAAATGTAAACTACACTGCTAGGTTGCTGATTGTGAAGTCTTATCTATTTCTTCTATGTGGTTTTTTTCCATACAGGTTGTCTAACGTTCATGGTGTACAACGTGTAGACCCGCACAGGATGAATTTGATCCAGCTAGACGTACATTTTTTATTCCTACATTATCCGGCTTATATCATGTTGACACGACCCGTCTCTATTGTGGTATGATGTACTTTCAACACACACCCTGTATTCATCAAACCAGGTCGCACGCTCTAGCGATCGCGGGTTATTTGAATATATAACGTGAGTTGTCAAGCGCGCTCAATTCAAACTGGGCTGACGGGTACGGTCTGTCTATTTAGGGCAGCACGCTATACACATAGCTCTATTCATAACCCTTTACTTTTGTTTTCTTATGAATTCTTTTCTGCCTTATAAACACACACCTTTCATTCCCCCTCACCTGTGACGCGCTGTTGATGCATGAGTCATCCTATCCGATCACGTGACTTGGATCAGCCAATCAACTTCGCATCCGTCTGGATCAACCGGATCAACCAAAATGACCTTCTGCGGACTTAACTATACTACTATCAATTGCCAAGTTGCACTTATTGATTCTCAGACATATAGGGGGCGGTGGGGTAGCCTCGTGGTTAAAGCGTTCGCTCGTCACGCCGTAGACCTAGGTTCGATTCCCCACATGGGTACAATGTGTGAAGCCCATTTCTGGTGTCCCCCGCCGTGATATTGCTGGAATATTGCTAAAAGCGGCATAAAAACTATACCCACTCACTCATGATCAGCCATATAGACAGCCTTTCTTTCTGCAGTAGAACCATCATCGCTATTGTATTTTGTGTTATCCAAATTCATAGCTGCTTTGCTTTGCTTGTTGTTTTTGTTTGTTTTGTTTTTTTGCGCAGTACTCAATACTCCAGCTATCTTAGGACGGCTTGAAAATAAACGAGTCAGGGACCGGACCGGACCAGACTATACGGCAATTGTAGTCCGCTGGGGAGTGGTATTCACAGGACGTCGACCTATTGACCCAAATAATTGGCAGGAAGTCCCTGTGTGGTATCCTTTGATCCGCTCAACTGTTGTTGTTTTAACGGATCAAAACAGGTGCAGGGGACATCTCGTGATAGAATTGAATTAAATTAGTGTCAAATTGTCATATGGACCGTTCAGGTTCCTAATATGCCTAAATCACAACTGCTACTACTACAATAACTACTACTACTACTACTACTACTACTACTACTACTACTACGACGACGACGACGACGACGACGACGACGGAGACAACATTTACTACACAGCAAACTAATAATGAACAACCATGACAACCACAACTGCTACTACCACAAAACATGTTGTTTCTAGTTACTGTCTAGACGACTGCTCACGACGACTACCACTGCTACTACTACTATAACTATCAATACTACTATACTACAACTGGATGTAGAGTGTCAACTTGTCATGTCAGTTTGGTTTGACACAACATCATGCACAGCACGATGAAAGGCAGTCAGTATTCGTTACATATAGAATGTGTCTGGTCGTATTTAAATATAACCCTGAAGGTAAAAAAAGAGAGTATCGCTCGTTTCCACGGGGCGGTCGGGTAGCCTAGTGGTTAAAGCGTTCGCTCGTCACGCCGAAGACCCGGGTTCGATTCCTGACATGGGTACAATGTGTGAAGCCCATTTCTGGTGTCCCCCGCCGTGATATTGCTGGAATATTGCTAAAAGCGGCGTAAAATCAAACTCGCAAAACTCGCTCGTTTCCACAAAAGACCGTACAATATCATTCCTGATAGGTTAACCTATACGGTTTTATGTGGGCTGAAGTGTACGCAATCAATAATAAAAGGAATTGGAATCTCCGAGTATGCTGAAAGTTCAATAGCTTCAGCCCTCAGCCATTATATTCCTGGGGCGGTCGGGTAGCCTAGTGGTTAAAGCGTTCGCTTGTCACGCCGAAGACCCGGGTTCGATTTCCGACATGGGTACATTGTGTGAAGCCCATTTCTGGTGTCCCCCGCCGTGATATTGCTGGGATATTGCTAAAAGCGGCGTAAAACCATACTCACTCACTCACTCACTCATTATATTCCTACATCCAATGATTTGGATCATGTTGTTTCGGAAGTCAAACGTGCAACCTTTGAACAGTTTGTCAAAGACTGGACAGACGCAATAACCGCCCAAATAGTATTCGTGGTACTGGTGGTAACACACTTCGGCTTCATTGTAATTTTAAACATGAATTCAGAATGGAACAGATTATTTTGTTACACCTAGCAATGTCTCATCGACGTGCCCCAGTTGGTTTAGGTGTGGAATAGCACATACACGTGTTAAGACTGGGCGCCGTGCAAATCTGCAAGTTGCTGACAGACTCGTAGGGCTGGGATGGGTAACTCGGGTACTCGGTCCTGAGTAGGACCCGGATACCCGGACCCGTGGTTAGTCACGTGATATATCGTTTAATGAAAAAAAATCACTATAGCTCAGTGGTTACACTACACGTCGCTAATGTTCGCATTTCTTTCTGACGATGCACACATTCCTTTGGACTTGTAAATGTTTGAGTAAAGATAACGCTTAAGTCAACTTCCGTGTACGCATGATCTGATTGTTTGATACATGTATGTATCTTAATAGCTTTGGCCAGGGCTGCGGTAAAACAATTACCAATCGGACATTTTGTCCCCTAGACTTGCAGTGGGTACCCGGGTAGGGTCGGGTAATAGGAGGTCGGGTACCCGGGTAGTAAATTTGGACTCGTCCCAGCCCAAAGTTTCCTTTACTTGTACTGACTGTGTGGAGACGAGTACCATGCATTGACCGCTTATTGATAAATGGTTTGGGACATTTTAGTAGCTCTACTGATATTCACAAAGTATGATTTATTCTCTCCAGCCCTCGTGTATTTATGTGCCTAAATCTGAGAAAGAGAAAAACATGTTCTATAAATAACTGTGTGTGTACAATATATGGATTTTGTATATGCTTTTGGGAATATTATGGGTTCTGGCGTTTAGTATGATTATTTCTAACTCTTTCTTAGAGTATAATTTGGGGCGGTTGGGTAGCCTAGTTGTTAAAGCGTTCGCTCGTCACGCCGAAGATCCGGGTTCGATTCCCGACATGGGTACAATCCTGATCACACCATCCGATACAACCGTCAACTACTTGTACACATCTGACACGCGGTTTTATATTCGTCAAATCACATGAACAATACGTTTGATACTTAAGTAAGTAATTGTAACCCGTGATCTTCCTCGAAATGCCATTGTTTTAATTTTGTAAGTCATAAATATTTCCTTATCACATAATAGTATGGACATTTGTGTGAATCTGGCGAGAGGGTAACAGCAGCTGATTGGGTAACAGCCAACAATGATAAAATATAATCTTAACATTATTAGTTCCTGTGATTTAATTAACATAGCCACGGGTGCTGAATGTATAGTTGATATGCTGTAGTCGCCATCCACAACGAGCAATGGAGAGCTGGGACCTATCCTACCCGGCTACCATGGGGCCTCAACTTTGCATAAGAAAATAATTATTAGCAGATACGTATTTGTATTCTTGTCTATTTTAAATTATATACGAATGGGTAAATATGAACTATGATTAAAAATACGGTGTCAACGTTGGATATTGGATGAGATAGGAGGTAAAAAGAAATAACATGTCATAGATGATATATGTGATGTGATAATACAGAGAGGGTACAACAAGTACTTGTTTGTTTTCTGTTTCACGCCACATTTAGCAATATTCCAGTTACATGACGGTGGACTTTAAACAATCGAGTCTGGAACAGACAATCGGGTGACTCAAATTATCAGCAACGATCCGTGGATGAAATATGAAATAAGAAAAACATTGGCCAGCGTCACAAATGGCTGTTGTAAATAAATCACATTATGACCGAAGTTCGCCCTTAATTCTATAAGTATTATGTTAAATTGACAAAAATTTAAGAAAATATTATTGGTTAAAACACAAACATAAAACAACAACGACACAAAAAATCACCCAGAAGTGACATGAATTTGTTATGTAAATTCTTCTTTCTAATACAGTAAAGTACGTTTATAACGAACACGCTTGTAACGAAATGACCGATATGACGAACTTATTTTTTAGTCCCGACCATTTGTTGTATAAATGCTGTATATATGCCTATAACGAACTACGGTTATTACGAACTAAATTAGTGGTCCCTTTGAGTTCGTTATAACCGTAGTTAACTGTATCCCGAACCTCGTCTGGACTGTGAACATGGACTTCGGTTCTGCATGTAATACCATGTATTCACAATCAATTTGAGCAAATATTTATAGGCCCATATCTACGTCCACTGTGACCGCCTCCGTGGTCTAGAAAAACACAGTATACAGTATACTGACTCCGAGCCGACCAGTCCTTGTTTTAGCCCCTTAATGTCGAGCGCCAGACAGGGTAACAACAAGTACCATCTTTTAACGTCTTTTGGTATGTCGCGGCCGGGGATCGAACCCCGGACCTTCCGCTCTCCGGGCGGACGCTTATTCTTGTTATGGTTAAGTACGGCAACTGTTTTACTATTAAGAACGATGTTCACTAAAACATTTGGTTTCAGCCATCAAAGAAAAAACTGCACCGAAATAACAGATAAGTTTGTGGCAGCATTTTCCTATCAGCCGGCATGTAACGTGTCGTTCGGTCGCTATGACAACTTCATCAAGTCAGCTCATGGTGACGTCTCTCGCGGCAAGGTGAGGTATCACTTATGTTAACCATGACGTTTGTTTGCCGCGTGCAACATTATACAGCCACGCCGAATCACCTGAGTGAGTGTGTGAGTTAGGATAAACGCCGCTTTTAACACTATTCCAGTTATATCACGGCGTGTCATTTTAGTGTGGGAAGAAAGCTCGAAGTGATGCAGGTCTCAGACGTTTACCAGTTCGGTGAAACCCACGAGCACGGGTATGGTGCTGACAAACCCAGAAACATAATCGGGGCGAAACCGGGATTCGAACGCCACTCTGCACATCGAATCGCGGTGCCTTAGACGACTGGGCCACCCGTGCACCCTGAATCACCTGAAAAAGGTTGACTTATTTCGAGGATTTGCCTCGAATAGCGGATGCTGTTCATCGCTGCAGGTGGGGGCGGTAGGGTAGCCTAGTGGTTAAACCGTTCGCTCGTCAAGACCCGGGTTCGATTCCCGACATACATACAATGTGTGAAACCCATTTCTGGTGTCCCCTGTCGTGATATTGCTGGAATATTGCTAAAAGCGGCGTAAAACCATACTCACTCACTCGTCGCCGCAGTCAGCTTTAGTCCTGTTATTACTCGGCGGGCAATGAAATAATCCAATCTGTACAAGACAAATCAGTGGCTGAAAGTTTGCGCAACAGAGCCGAAACACCTGATTCCTCTTCCGACAGGTTCCTGCAACACGCATGATGTTTTGTTTGTTTGTTTGTTTGTTTGTTTTTTTCCAGCAATAATCCAGCCATATGACAGCGGTCTGTAACTAAATGAATCGAGTCTTGACCAGACAATCCAGTGATTGACATCATGAGCATCAATCCATGCAACTGAGATACGATGACATGCATCAATCAAGTCAGCGAGCCTGACCACCCGATCCCGTTAGTCACCTCTTACGATAAGCATGTACTGAGGTATGTGTTTGTTGTTTAATTGTTTTGCTGTCACGAGTTACTGTGAGGGATCATAGATCGTGAGTTACTGTAACCTGGAATCCACTAAGGTAACATGCAGAAATACAGTTCTGGCAGCGTCAGGGTGAAGTGCGTTCCGATTTTTGTTTCAGGCGATGTTCTGGTCGGATGTGTATGGCGTCGTCCAACAGTACACCTACCGCGGTCGGCGCGCCATTGCCATAGAAGACACACTCATAGGTACTGTTATGTATATGTATTATACCGTACGTTTCAGTAAATCATCCGATTTTATGTCAGCTTCACTGCGGATGAATTTCAACATTTCCAAGGCTTTGCGCTGTCCCAATGAGACAAATATTGTGAAGAGCTTAGAGCCAAAAGGGGCCATCACTTTGGCCCTTTGGGCATATTACTGCATAAATAACGTCTATGAGTCCTTGTCTAACTGTAGAAAAAATTATTGTATGTTGTTATTGATTGATTGATTGATTGATTGATTGCTTGGTTGCTTGGTTGCTTGGTTGCTTGGATGGTTGCTTGGTTGCTTGGTTGGTTGCTTGGTTGGTGGGTTGGTTATTTTAATGGTTGGTTGCTTGGTTGCTTGGTTGGTTGCTTGGTTGCTTGGTTGGTGGGTTGGTTATTTGGATGGATGGTTGGTTGGTTGGTTGGATGGCTGGCTGGTTGGTTGGGGATATATACATATATATATTTACATTAGGAGTAACAACCCGAAACCCTATATGTAAAATGATAAGGTTAAGGGCTAAGGGTTAATATCTTTCATGTCGCCCCTTTTTGTAAAAGATTCTTATAAGCGAGGTTTGATTGGAAATATAGGGTACTTTTTGCTATTTTTACATTTTTCATTGTTTTGGCTCGGTTTCTTATAATTATTCGTAATAGAATATATCCTTCCTTCAACTTTGCGCGTTTTCTCACAAACTACATATAGTAAAGCCATGGAACTGCAGTGTAAATGCACTGTACCTTTTATATTCCAACAACCTCTCAACAACGACAGTCTGGTCGTTATTTACAGGTTTTGTTAAAGTGGCCATTTAGCCGAATTTGTTTAATATTGGTACAAACTGAATCTAGGGACATTATACAATATGACTTTATTAACGTTACTACTTTGTTTCCATGGTAACAGAAAGCGGTATCTGGGGAGCTGATTGATTGACATTTAGAAATTTCGTTCAAATTTGGTATTTAGGGACAATGCATTTCATGACTCAAACAAATAGCTTTTGTTACCATGGCAATCTAACCGAGGCATCTGTGAGAGTCAGGGTCTTGCTAGATTGCTCCCTAACTAATTATGACAGATTGCAACCCCCCCCCCCCCCCCCCCCCCCCCCCCCCCCCCCCCCATCTCCACCCCAACAAATCATACACTTATCAAGGAAACAGCGTCACAGCTGTATGTTGACAACACGTCAGTACAAGGCATAACTTCAGTGGCGTGTCCCTGGGCTACACACTAGAGTATCCAGAGAATCAATATCAACCAAGGGTGACATCAGGCAAACACTCGATACATCCTAGTAGGTATTGGTCAGAGAATTAATATTAACTCTTGAACCAAGGGTGACACTCGATACAGCCCAGCCAATAGTTCTGGATGAAGAAAAGGTGACATTGGTCAAGCTGACCGCAGCTGTAAATCACATCGTGGTCAGTAAATTAAAGTACACGTGGTTGTGAACATGCGACAGACTGTGACAACTCAGCAGAAGCTGAGGGTATACCAGTGACCAGGCAATAGACCTGCGCAGGTTTAGTTTAGATCTGACTTGACCTGAACACGTTTGCCATTGTCTGAATAAACAGCTGTGGACCCTCAGGCGAACGTGTGTTGTTTATGCCAACCATCGCTTAGATCACCAAACATCTAAGAGTGAGACATCTGCTTGGTCGAATTGAATGTTCGATTTCGTTGACAGATATTGAGATATATTTTTGCACACAAAGCACATTTTATTACAACAGCAACGGAACGGGGTCCTCTGGTTGGTTGACATTTAGATAATTAACCCTATTTAAGACAATTTTCCCATACTAATAACTGATCTTTATGAAACTTGGTGTAGATGATCAGCACAAGGTCCGGTAAAATAACCTCATTCAAGATATCCAAGATTGTCTCTCAGTCGCCATTTTCTAATTTACAGGTCTCAAACATATAAATCAGTAGATATATATTTAATGAAGTCCTTTTGAAAACCCTCGTGAATCATTTTTGCAGATTATTAGTTCATTGTACCCCCGCAACGAGGTTAGGGGATATAATAGAATCAGCGTGTCCGCCTGTCTGTTGGTCTGTCCGTAGAAAATAACTTTCGGACAATTCCCTAATGAACTAATTGACTGATTTCAATTAAACTTTGTACATGTGGCCACTTCAACATGTAGTTGGGCACATTGCAATTTTTTGTTTTTCATTTCGGCGGAGTTATTGCCTTTTATTACTTCATCATTTCAATTTTTCTGGACAACTTCTAAACTACTACATCGATTTCTTTCAGATATGTACGTAGGTGTAGCTAAGGAAACTGTACGATAAGCCTTCATGTCCATTACCATTGTGTTACTATGGCCACGGAACGGAGGCAATAGAATTTGTTGTCCGAATTCGTTTAAATTTTGTATTCGGGAATATCTTGGAATCGAACAACTGATTCTGCTATTAACAGCGATTTCTCATGATTATAAGGGCGGTCGGGTAGCCTAGTGGTTAAAGCGTTCACTCGTCACGCCAAAGACCCGGGCTCGATTCCCGACATGGGTACAATGTGTGAACTCCATTTCTGGTGTCCACCGCCAAGATATTGCTGGAATATTGCTAAAAGCGGCGTAAAATCAAACTCACTCACATTACCAGGACTGTTTTTCTATACATGTATGATGGCCGAAAGGTTTATGTAACGTATTGCCATCCATCTTTGGTTTCCATAACACATACACATATTGACTGAAATCGGACAATAACTACATTTCAATCAGGTCCTCCTGTCCGTCGCTATAGTAACGGAAATGAGGGTTGCCTTGTAGAGTATGGTAAGATAACCTTTTACGACTGTAGGTTTGATAGAAATCGGTTAAAAGGGTCAGGGGTCATAAACCCTTTTTTCTTTTATAAAACCTGCATATAGCAACCAGGTGGTCGTTGTAGAGAGGGACTATAAGAATCCAAGTAACGATCAATTAAATCTGCGAAGTTTAATGGATATTATTTTATAGTTAATACCCTAAATGTAGAAAGAAATTATCTCTCACTTCAACCCTTAATGTAAAACAAATTTCATTAAGATTTGTGAGTGAGTGAGTATGGTTTTACGCCGCTTTTAGCAATATTCCAGCAATATCACGGCGGGGGACACCAGAAATGGGCTTCACACATTGTACCCATGTCGGGAATCGAACCCGGGTCTTCGGCGTGACGAGCGAACGCTTTAACCACTAGGCTACCCGACCGCCCCCATTAAGATTTGAGAGTAATTTTTACATTAAGGGTTGTAACAGGGCATCAAGTTCAGCCAATTTTGCACTCGGAAGAATGATTGGCAATGCACTTTATACTTGTATTGGGATGACGCAAAGCAAACATTCAAAGGCTATATTATTGGTTAAAGGCTACATTGGTGACGGGCTGCGATTCTGTGCTCAGGAATCCTCTCCGGGTATAACATACAACCAGGAATGTCCAGGATTTGACCAGACAGAGGGTTGTCCATATAATGCAGAATTCTCCTTTTGGGCACAAGCGTCCTCAAACGTGCGTACACCTGCACAAAACATCATATACCTCAGCTATAACTATACAACTAAAAGGCGTCATAATTCTGTTACTCACCTAATTCAATCATTTTGTCACTGTGTTATCAATAACTTTTAAATACGTTATCATTCAATGTTAAGGTCCTGCATGTCTTATCGATAAGTGATCCGCGCTCCATCAATTACAGTAAACTACGCTTATAACGAACACGCTTATAACGAATTGACGGATATAACGAACTTACTTTTTGGGTCCCGACTATTTGCTGTAGTTATGCTGTATATATGCTTATAACGAACTGCGGTTATAACGAACTAAAATTAGTAGTCCCTTTGAGTTCGTTATAACCGTACTTTACTGTACTATTGTATCTGTCTTTGAGAGCGTTGTCACTATTTCTCTTGTGTTATCATTGACGTTTGCATGTGGCAATACTGTCTTGTGCGACTTGTGCTAAGACGGATTTTGCACGTGTTATCCTTGACCTTTGCACGCGTTATCATTGTCCTTTACACGTTGTAATATTTATTTTTATGTGACTGTTTTTTTTTAAATGTAACTACTCGTATCTCCGAATAGGGTGCTTCACAATACATAAACCATATTTTGCATTTCAGTTTGCATCCAGTGCTTCTGGAGAAGTAAACCTCATGTTAAACGCAAGTTTGGCTGAGGCGTTCTACAACACGTCGTAAGTCATCATGTTATCATGTGAGGATTAAAGGTCAATACATTTTCTTGTGAAGCAGAATTTCACCAAACTGAGGTAAACGGACATTTTTTAACGATGGATGGCAACGCGCTAAATCACCGCATTATTAATGACGTCATCGTTTCCTTTATTTCAGTTTCTTTGGAGTGTGGGAGTTACCTAATTTAAATTCTAGCAAGGTGACAAAGGTCACTGTTCTACTGGTACACATTCCAGGACAAACGGTCAGGTAGGTCTAGAGTCGGCGAGTGCGTGAGTTAAATGATATAAATGGGTTGAGTGGGTTAGTGAGTGAACCATATGACAGCGGTCTGTAAATAATCGAGCCTGGACGAGACAATCCAGTGATGGACATCATGAGCACCATTGGGATACGATGACATGCTTTAGCAGCCTTGACCCGATCCCGTTAATCGCCCCTTACGACAAGCATAGGCACCTTTTACGGCAAGCATTGGTTGCTGAAGGCCTATTCTATCCCGGATCTTCACGGGCCAGTGAGAATCGTCGATACAAACCCAGCCAGTGGAGCCTTGAAGTTAAGGGAACAGACCTACACAGCGAGATGCGTCTCAGATGACAGGGAAACCCTATCGAAACGCATACAGCAGTCAGTACGATCATCTACCAAAACAACAGATTCCACATAATCCAAAGGAGTTGATAAGGACAGTTGGTATAATTCAATAGTATGAGAACATACTCATCTGACTTTTTTTTTATTTAACATCTTACAGATCGAAGTGCAGTACTGAGAATATCGCTTCATTACAACGGAGACTTAGAGAGAGAAACATCGTATCTGACTGTGTGGACGGTCCGAGGTGTGTATAGGTAAAATAGTGTTTCAATCTCATTAGAATCAGACCTTAGTTCTCGCTACCGCTAAACAAAGATCTGAGGACATCTCAGTAGAGGTCACGTCAGAACGACCTTTCAACCGACCAATCAGAGCGTCGCTTACCAGATCATAAAAGTGACAGTCGGAATGTGATTTCTTATCATTCATCCTCGAAAACTTTAACACGGGGTATTCCCGAACGGTAGTTACGGGCTTAACGACTGAATCCATACAATCTAGTCCATCTATTTACGATTCCAGAATGTTGTTTTGTTCGGATTTCAAATTTTTAATCGAGAATTTGTCAAAATATGTTTCGAAGCGTTGTCGCCAATTTGAAAATAGTGCCGTAAAGCACGAGAAAGCTGCCTTCTGATTTGTCATTCCTTTGGTCGGTCAAAGTTTGCGCAAGATCGGTCTGACTTGACCCGTAATGGGATGTCCTCAGATCTTTGTTTAGCGGTAGCGAGAACTAAGATCTGATTTTAATGAGATTTAATAGTGTTTCAGTGTATGAGAAAGGCCTAAATACAGTTCTGGGACATTACAATGACTAATAAGTTCTTCAGACCAGAAGCTAATATTGTTTAACGCCACCGTCAGCATTTACCTTGACCCCTTAATAATGATAGGTGGTTCGCCCAGATTTTGTTTCTAGGTTTGTCAGCACCATATCCGTGCTCGTGGGTGTCACCGAAGTGGTAAACGTCTGAGACCTGTATCATTCATTCATTCATTCATTCATTCATTCATTCATTCACTTCGGGCTTTCCTCCCACATTAAGCCGCGATATAACTGGAATACTGTTAAAAGCGGCGTTAAACCCAAATCACTCACTCACTAACAATGAAAGGAAAGAGTGAGTGAGTGAGTGAGTATGGTTTTACGCCGCTTTTAGCAATATTCCAGCAATATCACGGCGGGAGACACCAGAAATGGGCTTACAGATTGTACCCATGTCGGAATCGAACCCGGGTCTTCGACGTGAAGGCTTTAACCACTAGGCTACCCGACCGCCCCGTGAAAGGAAAGAAGACATACGAACATATCATGATATTAACTCAGTCGGACCTTACATAAGTGAGCGATATGAAAATTCATGGACTGTATATACGTAAGTATTGTTGTATGCCCAAACAAAACATTTTGGCTGTGTATTCTGATATTTAGCCTCAACCTTCTCCCTTCATGTACCGATATGGGTGCTAATAGCGCCATGACAATCACGATGAATGTGTATTCTGGTACTTTACCCTACACTACCAATTATGCATGTGTCAATGTGTAATGTAGAGAACTTGCTGTAAGGGTATCAATCGTATAGAACCTTCTGTTATTTCGTTATCATGTTCTTTGTTACCCTTGAACCACCTTTCTGATGATGTTTCAGAAAACAATCAGATGAACTTCCGGGCTTCATTGCTCTATTTAAAAAAAACTTTTTGACCTCTAAACGTTTCAAGATAAGATCATGTTTGAGTCAGTTCAGGAATGGCATTTGTGTGAAAAGTGCTGATTTTCATATATGGTAACCATGAAGTTTCCATGGCAGTACCATGAAGTCAATTTCCACTTGACATCCTCAGAAATGGCAGTAGAGTTTTGTTCCCAGGATGTGGCATTGACTTTTGCTATACTATGATTTTGTCCAGAACAGTCTTCTGATACAATTACATCACCAAATACTTGGACTTTTCAGGGGCCCTCAAGCTATGCTATGTGTTGACTATCCGGATGAAGAGGAATGTAAAGTGAGAGCATCTACTAGCGGTGCATCCCTTAACAGCGATGCGGTGATGGGACTCGCGATATGTATCTGTGTCATTTCTTTCGTTCTTTCATAAGGAATAAAACTTCTTAAGGATTGTCATCTTCTTTGCCTCATTAATATTTTTTATGACAAAAAAATACTTATGAGGTATCATGTTAAACAACTGAATCATTAGTTTAAATAGCGCCATCTTTGCGTCAATGAACAACTGAACACGGCATCATTCTTGTCTAAAACATCTTTGAACAATTGAAACATGAGTATCTATCTATTTATCTATCTATCTGTCTGTCTGTCTGTCTATCTATCTATGTCTTGATCCGATGCCTACCTTCAACATGTTGTAAGTGTTTATAGTTGATCCACGAAAACATTTTTCAATAGTCACAGTGGTTACCATCAGTATATATTCATACGACGTTTGTAGTATCTATCAATAGAATGACACCACCGCCCATTTATTTACTCCATGCTTCGTGATTGTCCCCGGGTTCCAATCATGTGTCATGACTTTACAACAAGAAACTGTTGAGGGAGAGCATATATGGATGTCAACTTCTTTATAATGAGAAGCACAACGTTTCGGAGTATATGCTTACTCCTACATAAGGTGAATGAATGCCACGAGGCAGAGAGGATATATATGTACACATAAAGACAACAACATTAATAAGATAACAAAAGGTGGAAAATAACAAAGGGTAGAAACTAACAAGGGAAGCCAACAGATGATAGCCGCTGATAGGTGATAAGAAATAGACAATGAAAGCCAACACGTTACAGTCATCAGCGCTGATGGAAGCCAGTTGCGTTATCATAGATACGTAATAGAAACAAATACTGCGTTAGGAGTGAGCGAGTTGGTTATAACGCCGCTTTGAACAGTATTCTCGTTACATCACTTCCACAGTAGTGTGACAGGTTACTGTGGGAGGAAAGCCCGAAGTGATGCAGGTCTCAGACGTTTACCACTTCGGTGAAACACACGAGCACGGGTATGGTGCTGACAAACCTAAAAACATAATCTGGGCGAACCGGAATTAGAACCCACAATCACAGGTTTCTTGTGTGCCCAAGGGACGCAACTCTACACCGCTAACTACGGTGCCTTGGACGACTGGGCCACCCGTACCCCCCATCAATACCTGAACATGAATACACCAGCACCATCGAAGCACGCATCTGGTAGAGACAGTCATTCATTATACATCCATTAGACAATGATTTCAACATAACATTAGTTAATAGAAAATTGGATGGCAATGCAATTCAATATTTGTGAATATACAGTACGGTTATAACGAACTCAAAGGGACTACTAATTTTAGTTCGTTATAACCGCAGTTCGTTATAAGCATATATACAACATAACTACAGCAAATAGCAAAAAAGTAAGTTCGTTATATCCGTCAGTACGTTTTAAGCGTGTTCGTAATAACCGTAGTTTACTGTACAACGTCAACAATTTTCGACCAAAAGACATTGAAACTGGTGGTGTGGTGAGTACTGGATGCAGTGAAGGCTTTTCAATCCTTATGGATCTAATTGAATTCTTCGCTTCCACAATGTTGCATTGTCCGTTATGATACAGCTATATGAAAAATACAAATACACTATGATGGCTTCGGCTTCCATATCTGTGTTCGTGAATTACGGACGATAGAAAGAGATTTTATAAACAATGAATATACGCAATGTAGGCGCAAATTAAGTTGGTTGTATCCTGATCCGCTGATCTCGAACCCACGGTGCTAGAATTCGTCCACGCCAAAGTCCTCAGCTCAGAATGGCAAATTTGTCCCCTAATCACTGAGTCACACGTACCCCCATGAACTGATTTTCCATGTATTCGTAAAACAAATAGACACGACCTGAACACATTATTAATTTGCTTGTGTCAGATAAGTGCATAGGAAATGTATTAGGGCGTTGTATGTGAGAATATTAGTTTCAGTTAACAGAATGCTGAGTGAAAGCGTGACGGTATATTTCACCAGCATTTGAGAGGATTTCTCAAGCTCAGAGATCCATCCGTTTGTGGTATGATCGAAATCATTTCGATAAGCCATGCTACAGCCATAAACAATAAGGTCATCCGTTCCACAAAAAAATGAAGAAGCTCACACAGCTGATCACAGTTAATCTAAGTTAAGTAAATATTTCCAGAAATAATAAATGATATGACTGAAAGATGTTGGTATGCTGTATTAAATACACCTTAGCATAAACAACCGTCCTCGTATTAACAAGTGGTTACTGAAAACAATTTTTTTATGGATAACATTTCTTTATTATTTAAACGAAGTTTCAGGGCTACTCCTTGCCCCGTCGCCAGGCGAATACTGAGTGAGTGAGTAAGTTTGGTTTTACGAAGCTTTCAGCAAAGTTCTAGCAATATCACGGCGGGGACACCAGAAATGGGCTTCTCACATTGTACCCATGTCGGGAATAGAACCCGGGTCCTCGGCGTGTCGAGCGAACTCTTAACCACTAGGCTACCCGATCGCCCTCAGGCGAATACTGAGTTAGGGTATTGAGTTAACTGATATTATGTGGCGATATGTTCACACAATGTAGGATTGATGTTCTCAGATGACAAAATAATGAGGAAGTCAATAATACTTCCTTTTGTGTCACACAAAATTGACACCTGTCTTCATCTTCCATATGAAAGGGAATGCTGACAGGGCGACTCACTGTCCCCTTATCTATTCCTGCTGGTTGCAGACATTTTGAGAATAATGAGCCGTACTGTTAATGCAATAAAAGGTATCAAACAAAATCATGTGGCGCTCATACACTATGCTGATGATACAAAAATATTTGTTTCTCTATGGGGGAGTCATTCTCAATTAAACAAAATGTTTACAAATTATTTGAGAACTGAGAATGATAGAAGTAAAGGCCATTATAGATTCTCTAAACGTGTCAGTTCTGAAAACAAATCTGTTATACCCTAACATCCTACCACAAAACAACATAATTTTTCAATGGAGGCATTATCAAATACTATTTACACATATATATGGGGAACATTTTATTGAAGACATATAATTAATTTATGTACTATGAGAACCTCTTTGGTGTAACCGTCAGTTAAAAAAAAAGATTTTATCATAAGGAATTGTTTTAAACATCGAATAAACACTATTAAAGATCTCTGTAATGATTATGGAATAATGCCTTTCAATGAACTTAATACAATTCGTCAATTACCGTTATACAAATTTCAAACAAGGCATGGTAACTGAGTGGGCTAACTATAAACCCGGCATTAGTCAGGACTAGTACAAGCAGCCACACACATGCATGCACGTCGCTTAAAGGGGAAGTGTACACGCAAAAAACACTTTCTTTCTTTTTCTAAACAAAACGCAATTTTAGAATTAATTAGTATCTGTGTTTGAAAATATACACTCATTTTTTTCACAGTGAAAGTAGGAAGCTCACAATAGTGTGAAAATGATATGCCGTTATGAGGCCTTCGTTTTTCGAGCTAAACAGGCCTGAGTTATCCCCCTTAGATTATGACGTAATTGGTGCCAATTCAACTGGGTCCCTGTCTATTCTCAACGCAAAAGATATCAAGTACCAGTTTGCGGTAAAACAACATGGCCTACGACACACTCCGGCGCAGTGGTGACTCAGCATAACACTATGCTGGCTGGCTTCTGAGACGCTAGAATCACACACCTAGACCTACACCACGTGAAGCGGCTCTAACAAAGCATGATGACGTCATAATGTTTATCAATTGGCACCAATGACGTCATATTGCAAGGGGCATAAGCCATGGTGTTTTTGTTGTGGAAATAGAACACTTGGTTAATGTGAAAAATATAAATCGTTTTAATGCGAAAAATATGTTGATTAATTGTGATATTTTTATATTTTTGTCTATGACACTTCTAGGTTAACACTTTTAATGTGGAAAAAGTACAAGAAAAATAGGTTCATTTCCGTGTGAACTTGCCCTTTAAATAGCGATGTACATGCACGTGTGTGGCTGCTTGTACAAGTCCGGACTAATGTGAGCATTTAATGAACAATTGGCTACATTAGCGAATTTTGTTCGTAACTTTTTGAAAGCGGATATCTACTTAATATGTCTGATTTTCAACATGTAACATTTTGCCTGCCGATCTAGTTGTACCAAAGAATAAAACACTTTGCATTAGGATTGTCGAACAGTCGATTGTTACGAGATCGTATACTGTATACTGTATACCTTATTTATGTGATTGTGAGTCTAACAATGTTGGTCTGAAATAAAATCCAAATGCAAAAATTATGACATCATCAATGAGTGATTTATTAAAAAGAAGGTTTACATGGAAAATGTGAGATAGCAATGTGCTTACACCGACAGTGATATTGTAATAGGGGTATTTACTAAGGATTGTGGATGCATGGCCCGAGGGACAAAGCTGCCGCATCGTGCTGTGCAGAGATGTGTCCTTCGCTTTTTCGCGGTTCGAATCCCAGTTACATTCTGAGTAGGACTGTAAGCCTGGGAGAACTGCTTAATTCTGTGTTTACGATAAGCGGAACATATAGATCAAATTCACCGTTTGAAAATACTATCAATGTTTAAATACTTAAAATAAATACATAAACTGTAAAACAATTACGATGGGTTTGGAACTGTTTATGGGAGGGTACTAGAATTAAACGTAGGGAGATACAAATGGTGCATTAAAACTACAATGTTTAAATGTGCATCTGAAAGCCGTCAAAAGATACACCAGGGAGGAATGTGCCTGTAACAATATGATATTGTTAGTAATTTGGGCAGTGAGTATTGATTATCTCTGCATTCAGAGACATTCCACCTAAATCACAATGACCCTTTGTTAAACTGTTTCGGTCACGTTCATCAATTATGCAAGGTGTGTGCAAAGTCTTACGCCTTGAGGTATGATAACTACCTTACCAGCAGGGAGATTACACATTCATAGACATACGCTGACCCATAAACCGTACTGTGGGTTCAGGATGTAGAGAGGAATGAATGAACAATCCAATGACATGGAGGTGATCTGTGAAGTTTGTATCCTGGATTGGATACAGTATCCTCCCTATAAAAAAATGATGCTTGTGAGCATCACAAAAGTGATAAACGACTTGTTTCTCTTTCTTCCAATCAAAACTAACACGCCGTGTGTAAAGCACACGCTCACCAGCTACCTTACAATGTAAGATGTTATCATACAGTTGATGGGAACCGAAGCAATATAGTCAGACACTTATCGTGTTAATCGTCTAAACTGGAGAACAGGTGTCTTCAAACTGGTGACGTATTCTCTCAATAAATGACTTCGGTGCATCTCCCTCTTTGTTGCCAAACAAACTGTTTACATCAGCGTTAAGCTGTTTCAACTCCTTCAACAGGAAATAGGTGAGAAAACAGAAAGAAATGCCAGGGAAAATACTGCCTGTATCACAATAAGGTAAACAGTAATAACGTTGCAAGTGCCATTTCTATCGCTATTATTGTGGAAATGGTAATTAAGCATCACCATGTAAATAGGGATTCTGTAAGGTTTTGCCTGACTTTGACCGCCGCACAATGTGATTAGCCACGCGATGCTTGGAGATCTTCGGGATATCATAGCCTCAGGACATTTTGACAAATTGATACATTGTATGTCATGTCATTGGCCAAGGCCATAGTCTTTTTAAGGCAACTAGAGACAAAGGATTTTATATTTGAAATTATCTTGCTGGATACCGGAAGTGATATCATTAAACCGGAAGTGCACATAACTTTCTTATTAATGTAGCTTCAGACATGAAAGTTTCTGTTTTGAAGTTGTCTTGCACTGAGCATTTGTTTTTCCAAAACCGGAAGTGATGTCTTTAAACCAGAGGTGTTTAGTTTAGGTTAGCAAGATGCATAGGACTAAGTTGTACTGCATTTGCTAACATGATGGATCAAAGATGAACATAGATATTGAAGGAGTCAGCTGTTACTGAGCTTCACTAAAACCATAGGTTCACTATATCCATAGCATAATCAACCCAGCAGAGTTAATCCCGTACTTTGATATGACATTTTCGAGGAGAAAACATCTGCAAAAGAGACCTCATGGGTTCCACCAAAATAATAAATGTCTGATGCAGCGTTAAAATCAGAAATACTGTTCAGAGAAGCGGTAATTCCACAACAAGATGCTTTATAACCATTGAACAGCATTAAAAGCATTATAATACTACGAAGTCATATATCCCTGAAATACGTTACCAAAACATTTAAGTTGTATCCTAGTTACAAAACTTGCAAATTAGATAACCTGAAACAGGACCTTTATTTTCATCGATTCACATGACCAGTTTATAACTAACAAGTGAATTCCATTTATTTAACCATTTTTATTAGATCCATAGGCGAATGCTACAGTATTGCACGTTACTAGTGTATTGCGTGTTACAGACTGATCATATCTAATTTGACGAATCGCAATTCACGCATTAACATCTTCTAAAGAATTAGAGTGACAACAGTGTACAGCCAAATCAAATCATGCAGATGAAGAACGTTCATTCTGTGACAAAGTTCTTCCAAATAAATCCCGATCAGCACAAACACATATGTCATCAAATTTGCAAAAACAAACAAAAACTAAATTGAATGCAGACACACATGCTTGATGTTCCGGAATTGCCCTTCTTGCATATATGGGTCCAAATCGCAAGTTGAACAATCTCACACTATCCATGTTTTTAACTGCGTGGATACTATGTTCTTTATTTTGTCCCACGTATTATGCGTAACACAACATGGGAACTTAACATTTTCAATGTATCTGTTTCCACTATTAGAAACGTGAAAAGCATGGTTGACATCCATGAAGAATGGCACTTCATTTGAACTGTAACACCACCAGCACATATGTCAGCAAGGTCCCGGAGAGCTGAAGCAAAGTAGTATAACAATAACTGATAGTTATGAGGAGAAACCTCGGTTTACAATGAACCCCCACAAGTCCGGACACTGTAAGTCCTGAAATCCCGCATCTGGACAGTATCTTTATTGAGCGTCTTTGCTTAACTAAAGAGAGAGTAATATATATTATCATGAGGTAATCCCGAAAGGTATAAAACCGGACGATTTCACAAGAAACAGTAGCATCTGGATTAACGGGATTTCATTACCCATAAGAAGTAATATGACAAGGCTTAAACGGGTCTCTGTATGCTCGTGTCCACTCCAAAACTGACTACAGATTGATTTTGCAATGAAGTGAACTCACTAGATATTTATATTCCACTCAGTACCTCTGCGTATGAACGCTCACATTGTTCAGCATTATAACGCACATCCGTTTAGAGTGAGTGAGTTTGGTTTTACGCCGCTTTAACCGTATTCGTGTTATATCACGGCGTGTCAGCTTAATGTGGGAGGAAAGCCCGAAGTGATGCAGGTCTCAGACGTTTACCACTTCGGTGAAACCCACGAGCATGGGTATGGTGCTGACAAACCTGGAAACATAATCGGGGTGAACCGGTTTTCGAACCAACAATCATAGGTTTCTGGCGTGCCCAAGGGACGTAACTCTGCATAGTGAATCGCGGCGCCTTAGACGACTGGACCACCCGTGCCCCCTCATACGTTTAGGGGACAAAAAACTGAAGTACATCGAGAAATCATCATTTCTGAGCTACAGATAAACAAAGGAGATTTTGCATTACTTGTGTCTGGTGTCTAATACTTTAATGTAAGTGCAGACTGTACATGTAGGTACATGCTAGTCGGATAGTAAGCGTTTCGTCTGACGACCTACCCTTTACCAAAGAAGAAAGTGCTTACCATTAGGATGGTCGAGTTGTCGATCGTGAAGAGATTATATATGGTATACCCTATCTTGGTGGTTGTGAGTCGTGTTATGAAGATGTTGATCTGAAACGAATTTCAATTTTCTCATAACTCATATTATCAATGCATCTATTATCAATATGAATTTATTTGAAATACGTATATGGAAAGATGTAACAGTGGGGTATCAGTGTGCTAAAACAAACTGTGGGCTTTTCATTAGAATGTATACTGAGGCGAATAACAAGACACAGATGAGGTGAGGTGAAATGGGGTTTAACGTCGTGTCCAAGATTATTGCACTTATATAGCGACGTGCATGTACGTGTGTGTTTGTGTGGCTGCTTGTACTAGTCCGGACTGATGCCGATTTATAGTGCTAGCTCACTGAGATACCATGCCGCAGTTTTTAACATGAATACCCCACTCAGACACAGTATACTGACTCCGAGCCGACCAGTCCTTGTTTTAGCCCCTTAATACCGAGCGCCAGACAGGGTAACAACAAGTACAATCTTTTAACGTCTTTTGGTATGACGCGGTCGGGGATCGAACCCCGGACCTTCCGCTCTCCGGGCGGACGCTCTACCACTAGACCACGGAGGCGGTCCTCAAGACACAGATGACCAAGTCGTCTTCAGGGTCGCATCTTGTTGTGCAGAGATGCTTACTTCAGACTGGATAAAGATCCGCTGATCGCCTGTTCGATGTCACGTGACCGCCTCCGTTGTCTAATGGTAGAGCGTCCGCCCGGAGAGCGGAAGGTCCAGGGTTCGATCCCGGGCCGCGTCATACAAAAAGACGTTAAAAGATTGTACTTGTTGTTACCCTGCCTGGCGCTCGGCATTAAAGGGGCTAAAACAAGGACTGGTCGGCTCGGAGTCAGTATACTGTGTCTGAGTGGGGTATTCATGTTAAACTGCGGCATGGTATCTCAGTGAGCTAGCACTATAAATCGGCATCAGTCCGGACTAGTACAAGCAGCCACACACACACATACACGTGCATGCACGTCGCTATATAAGTGCAATAATCTTGGACGCGACGTTAAACCCAATTTCACCTCACCTCGATGTCACGTTCCATTGGTCTGAGCCCTAGTCTGACAGAACGATACCCACACTGGTGGACTATCCAACTTTTTTGGACATGACTCCTACACTAATATGATATGATATAACTGTAACCTTATGATTACGTCAACGGAACATTTTACACAGATAACATGGAACTTTTCGAAATAATAAAAATGAAAAGTCAACGTTTTTATAGGCCCAACAAGTGTTGTTGCACGTGCATGTCAAGTTGATGTGTTTCGGCGTCAGGCTCTCACGTGGTTGTGTTTTTGCGTTTTGCCATCTTTTCACCAAATTCCTGCAGTACCTCACTTTTTCCACACAAATCAATCCAAATCCATGCAGAAATGACGAATTCATTTTCGGTATTAAATTTGTATGGATATCTGCAACACTCTGTCAGCCATTTAACAGAATTGGTTTAGATATGTTTGGTTTGGGGAGATGAATGTTTGATTGCATCTTGTACAAGGTGCAGAGGATACTTACAATGTTTAAACTTGTGTCTGACAGTGTGGACAAGTCAGCATTCAAAATATACATCAGCGACGAATGTGCCTGTAAAGATACACGGTTATATATTGTTATATATTGTTAGTAATTGGGTTTGTGAGTGAATAATGTTTAACTCTGAAGTCAGAGCAGTCACTTGTATCAAGATGACCCGTTGTAAATACATCTTCCCGAGGCAAGAGAGTTAACTGACTTTAAAAGTCCAGTTTCCACCCTTGCCGAACTAGGCTGGAATTCCTGGGCTCGATCGTAGCGCCACCAGTGGCTATTACGAGTTATGTCCTTTCTATGCCTCTCCTATTGACCAATCAGATTCAACCTCTCGTATCACTTGCATTTGCTTCAAACAAAACGGTGGCGCCCCGTCAAGACGATCTGATCGATAATCAAGATCTATATTGTGATAAAACGAGTCTTACATCGCGAAGTGCATCAAATCACGTGAGCACCTAGATTAAAAACATGAAAAGATTTAGAAAATATCTGTTGACAACGAGTTAGCGGTGCACATGCTTTGCAAATCCTGCAGTCGACCGAAATCTGCATGACACTCTACGAACCGGATTTCGATTTCGGTGCGCGATTTTGATTGGATTATGCATAGACTCGTTAGCCCAGCCAAAATGTAACTCCATAATGCCAGCCTAGTTCGGCAAGGGTGGAAACTGGACTTTTATAGTCAGTTAACTCACTTGCCTCGGGAAGATGTTGTAAATAACACAAGTAATTCATATTGTGTGCAACATCTTACAATGAGCAATGTCGCTCCGAATCTATACTGACCTGGAAGCAATTGTGGTCAACAATCAATGCAGGTGATCCATGAGTGACACCAGAAATGGGCTTCTCACATTGTATCTGAATGTGGTGAAGCGAGCCCGGGTCTTCGGTGTGACTAACATGAGTGACCAACATGAGTGAGTGGGTGGTTGAGTGGTTGAGTGGTTGAGTGAGTGAGTGAGTGGTTGATTGAGTGAGTGAGTGGTTGAGTGAGTGAGTGAGTGAGTGAGTGAGTGAGTGAGTGAGTGAGTGAGTGAAATGGGCTTCTCACATTGTATCTGAATGTAGTGAATCGAACCCGGGTCTTCGGCGTGACCAACATGCACCTATGTTACAACTATTAACGTAAAAATTACTCTTAATTTAAAAATGTTAACATTAATGTTACACATCTATGTCACAATATCCAATTTAAACATTTAAGGTAATAGTAATTACACACGTCTTTGATCAATGATGATTTTTAAAGAACCAGTAGGATGCAAAATAGAACATGTGTATAGTTAGGATTACATGCATTTTACCACACGCCACTGACCGTGGAGTCGAATCCAACATCCTCCAGATAATAATCTTTGATTTGTTAGCAACATGCAAAGGAAGAAACATGCAAACGAGGAAAGTGATAAACGACTTGTGTGACCTGACTCGTCATGTTCCAACCAGAGCTAAATCTACCTCCTCGACCTGACGAGGTTAGCAATTTTTATACATACCTTGATGTTCAGGGCCACTGATGTGAGAATCGTTGATCCAACCATGACAATGTTGATTACTATACATGTTATCAACATTGTATATTCTTTCTTCATCAACTCATCATTTATCAAACCATACAGCATGAAACAGGTGATGGGAACTGCCGCGGCATAGCCAGAACCGATCATATGCATGAACACGTCGCTTATCGTGCTGACAAGGGAACACGTGTCTTCAAACTTTCGACGAATTCTCTCAATATGTGACGCTGGCTCTTCACCTTCCTGATTGTCAAGTTTATTGCTTAACTGAACGTTTAGCTGTTTGAACTCCTTGAATAGGCAATAGGTAAGGAAATAGAATAATATCAAGAAAAATTCTACCTGTATTACATTTACGTAAAACACAATAAAGAATACAGTTTTTACGGTGGGGTAATATTCTCGTGGGAGCAGTCTCATAGGTTTCAGATAAATCACATCAGGGTCGACGTCGTGAAGTGATATAAAGTAAGCAACAGGCAGAACAATGACGACCACAGAAGCAGCAAAGAGAGGCAGCATCTTGATACAGCGCCTGAGAGATGCGTTGTCCATCGCGGAGACATACGTGTCTCTGTAGGAATCATATTTTCGGAAGAACTTGGGCAGGTGCTTGTTAATACTGACACATGTCGCGCTGCCAAAATACATACCACTAAACTGAAATCCTACGTACGATAATACTGCCATCCATGATTCAACAGTATAAACCTCATCTGTGGAGCGAATGAAGAACCGACACAAGGTGGACCATAACACGATTTGGATGATGACAGAGTAAACGACACTCATTGCATTGGACGTTGTTCCTCTTTTAATTGGCATGTGCATCCCCGCAGTGTTTATAATTGTCATAAATGGCTTCAGCATATCTTGCATACTCATGTGATTGACGCATTTCTCTGCATCAACACTATCGAGTGGATGCACCTTTGATAGACACATATCTTCTGTGAGGCCGACACAATATTGAAAACCAGTGTGTTCAAGTACAGCTTTGCTGATGGTTTTCTTTGCTGGAGGAGCGGGTGCTTTTTATATGTCCGTTATCTTCAAATACCGTCATCGGCTTCTAACGCATCATCAAATATTGACACGTGTGAAAGGTTGTTAAATCATCGTTCGTGTGTATTGTGTTTGCTGTTGATATCCCTTCGTGTTGCTTGGATTAATGAAACTGTGCAAACAATGCATTTGAAAGGAGCCTCTATATTATATCGGAAAAAAACATGTTGTCTCGTGTCGATTCCCATATTGAAACAATATGTTAACCCAGAAACTGTACGTAAAAGAACCTAGTGTCAAAACAAGAAACACTCAACAAGCGTTATACAATCAACAACTGTATTACAAAAATTAACCAGGTTTACACATCAACACAAATTACTGAACAGAAATTACAATGGCAGTACACACTATAGCGGTAATACAATATTCAATGGCAGTACACACTATAGCGGTAATACAATATTCAATGGCAGTACACAATATAGCGGTAATACAATATTCAATGGCAGTACACAATATAGCGGTAATACAATATTCAATGGCAGTACACACTATAGCGGTAATACAATATTCAATGGCAGTACACAATATAGCGGTAATACAATATTCAATGGCAGTACACACTATAGCGGTAATACAATATTCAATGGCAGTACACACTATAGCGGTAATACAATATTCAATGGCAGTACACACTATAGCGGTAATACAATATTCAATGGCAGTACACACTATAGCGGTAATACAATATTCAATGGCAGTACACAATATAGCGGTAATACAATATTCAATGGCAGTACACACTATAGCGGTAATACAATATTCAATGGCAGTACACAATATAGCGGTAATACAATATTCAATGGCAGTACACACTATAGCGGTAATACAATATTCAATGGCAGTACACACTATAGCGGTAATACAATATTCAATGGCAGTACACACTATAGCGGTAATACAATATTCAATGGCAGTACACAATATAGCGGTAATACAATATTCAATGGCAGTACACACTATAGCGGTAATACAATATTCAATGGCAGTACACAATATAGCGGTAATACAATATTCAATGGCAGTACACAATATAGCGGTAATACAATATTCAATGGCAGTACACACTATAGCGGTAATACAATATTCAATGGCAGTACACAATATAGCGGTAATACAATATTCAATGGCAGTACACACTATAGCGGTAATACAATATTCAATGGCAGTACACACTATAGCGGTAATACAATATTCAATGGCAGTACACACTATAGCGGTAATACAATATTCAATGGCAGTACACACTATAGCGGTAATACAATATTCAATGGCAGTACACAATATAGCGGTAATACAATATTCAATGGCAATATATAATATGATGGCCGTGGTCAGTATCAACTAAAACAATACAGTGGTGATAGCAAAAGTCAGTGATAATAATATATATTCACCCAGCGGCGACAGTGGTCAAGCTTCCCAGATAGGTTAAGCAGGAATCAGGCATGATGCGCGATCCTCACATGAAAGCTGGTACCGAAGCGATGATAATGCGTGAGAGATACGTAAACACGTCCTTGCCCCACTAGAAATACAGCCTAACCAACTACTGGACATTTCTACAGTGCCCTCACCAGTCTAGCGGTATCACAGAATTTTCTGCATGAGTCCACAGCCTACCGGAAGTTTACACGCAACACTAGCATCTAAATATAGTAACTTCCTGACGACTAATCCCTCTCCAAACACAATGCAAGAAACGTCTACCGAATCCCAACAGAAACAACTGCAACACAGCTACAATTATTGCTAATCAATAAAATACACTGCAAAACAACAATGTCAACTCTTATTGTAATGTTCGTAAAGCGACCCAAAAAGTCCATGATTATAAGAAATGTCTGCTAAAATCAGAATCCATTGTACGATCACAATTAGATCATAAGCTAAAAATATATCACTTTCAGACAGAGCTGATTTAGAGTCATTTTTTAGACTAATCTTTTGAGGGGCCTGGATGTTTCTCTTATGTAAGCTTATCCACAGTTGCAGGGAATGTGGTACACTGCTCCTGATGGTTCTAGCTTGTGGCTGGATGGCGGTTTTCCTGTGGATTTAATTGTGTTCTGAATGCTGTGACTTCTTTTGAAATTGACTTCCATGTTGGCCTGTTTCTTTAGGAGTCTCTGAATTTTGTGGCTAACTGTTCCAAAGTAGGGGAGGCTGATCTCAAAGGGTGCAGATTGTTGACCGGGTAGTGCAACCACTACCCCGAACAGCTACTACAACAGACAACACAGAACATCACCAAGAAAACTCAGAAATTTTTCTTTCCTTTTTTTCTGAGTTTTCTTGGGGATTTTCTGTATGATATATACAGATTAAAAACGTTTTAACCTTATAGCAATATATCATGTTTAAAAAGGACACACGATTTCGTTTAAAAAGTCGGACATTTTAGCCGTTATACCCGTAAATAATGTAGATCTTAGATCATCGTATAGTGGACATTCGAATAAAACATGATTTTCATCTTCACGATGTTGATTACAATTAAAGCAAGGAACCATTAGCTGTACACACTGCAGTAAATATCCACACGTGTTGATGTGATTTAAGACATGTCGATGTGCACGTAGTCCTTGCCAGTACAATGTCTAGTATAGAAGAATGATAGTTCGAGGTCTTCGTGAGAGCACCTTTAACATCATTAACTGTGTTTTACCAACTGATTTGTCCATACTTGTGTTGCTACATGTTTATATAAATGACATTCAGAGTAATCAATAAATTTGATTAGTTAATAGCTTTAGCGGTGATATTGGCGTAGAAGCTTCATATGTCAAGGGACTGTTTGCGTGAATTAGAGAATAACCCTTGAGCTTCGAGTAAATGCAAAAATATCTGTTTAGAGAACAATCATTATTTTGATTCGAAGTCGTGGCTCGTAACACCATTCAATCTCCAGGAACAGACAAAGCACTTTTCCGAGTGGAGAGAAGGTTATTCTGTATATATTCAACAACATTGGTGGGTGAGTTGGTTTTAACGCCGCTTTTAACAGTATTCCAGTTATATCACGGCGTGTCAGCTTAATGTGGGAGGAAAGCCCGAAGTGATGCAGGTCTCAGAGGTTTACCACTTTGGTGAAACCCACGAGCACGGGTATGGTGCTGACAAACCTAGAAACATAATCGGTGCAAACTGGGATTCGAACCCACAATCATAGGTTTCTGGCGTGCCCAAGGGAAAACAACTCTGCATAGCGCCTTAGACGACTGGGCCACCCGTGCCCCCAAACAAAATAGGAGAATGGACACTGATCTGTTGAAATGACTGGGAATGGATGAATTGTTCAAAAGTATTTTATACAGATCTTCGTGACATTTTCCTAAACTTTACACCCACAAACGGTACCGGGAAAAAAGTACTTTCGTATAAGGTGTGATTTCAATGGGTCTTAATTAAACACTGACACTTCGGTGGAAAGCCTCGAGCCAGATTCTGGAACTCTGCGTAAGGAATCCAATTCTCAGTATCAATTCTGACCCTTCTTGATCAGACAATATAGTCTAATGGACTATGGCCTATATGCTACGTCAGTCCGAATTGAAATGTAATTCTATGAACAGATGAACAGCAATGCTCCTGGGATCGTTGTAAGCCCAGCGACCCAACGAACTAGGCTTCTGACCATCAAGGGGCCAACTGGAAAACCCTGTTGTCAGCGAGAGGTAATCCCCTTGAATCCTCGCTTCTGAGTGAGTGATGCTTACTATCACCTTTCACCTTGAAAACTCATTTACCTGTGTAAATGTGTATGTACAATTATGTAGTTTGGTATATAGAAAATACGTGTACGTATTTTTATTGTCAAAATGAAATTCAGTTGATACACTAAACAGCAATTGTTTCAGGCAAATTGCATATAATACTACAATTACTTCTCCCTTCTTGTCATCCATATTTCATGGTATAATTCTCCACCTTTGTATTAGTCTGCGTTCACTTGATGCTCAGTTAATGACTTTATTACAGGTATAATTAGTGCTAGAACTATTCCGATTACCTGACACAGTCTGTAAAATATCTCAATAACGTTCACCGCTGACTACGAGGGTACCAAGATAATAAAGCACTCAGTGGTTCACATTGTGGCTTTGGTAATTGTTTAATCTACGATTGGGTTTTATTTCCATGTCTGATGTGGTTAATGTACTACCTATTATGTAATATGCACGTGATAGCGCAGCAAGAAAGGAATGGTCAGTTGAGTTTAAAAAAAAAACATCGATCAAAGGATTAACCGATAATACCTTGATTGATGAATCACTGTTATCTTGCACAGCGGATTTGTCAAAAGTAAGTGTTAATATATGTAGGTGTACTAAAGCAGGCGGAATACACCCATGTCATCATCATCATCATCATCATCATCATCATCATCATCATCGCCATCATCATGGTGCATGTTTAATTTTAGATATGATATTTCAAAATCTATTTTGCAGATTATACATAGTTTGTAAATGGACGAGTTGGTGATAACTGAAGTCGGTTTTAGATATGTTTAACATACTTGCATGTATATTCTCATTCAAGCCTTCACTATTTATAATGTAGTATTACTTTTTTATCTATGATGTATAAGAAACCCCTAACATCACAAAGTGTAGCATTACAATGCATTTGATTGATGCAGTATCCGGTTGTGGGGGGTGGCAGGGTTTATAAAGGCTAACCAGTGATTGTTTAAAGAACAGTTCTTTAAGGTAAGGTTGTCCAATGATACACCGACAATATAACTTCAAGGTGTTGATATATTGATGTTCCAAGATACACCGACAATATAACTTCAAGGTGATATATTGATGTTCCAAGATACACCGACAATATAACTTCAAGGTGATATATTGATGTTCATAGATACACCGACAATATAACTTCAAGGTGATATATTGATGTTCCAAGATACACCGACAATATAACTTCAAGGTGTTGATATATTGATGTTCCAAGATACACCGACAATATAACTTCCTTTTTTGATATATTGATGTTCCAAGATACACCGACAATATAACTTCAAGGTGATATATTGATGTTCCAAGATACACCGACAATATAACTTCAAGGTGTTGATATATTGATGTTCCAAGATACACCGACAATATAACTTCAAGGTGTTGATATATTGATGTTCCAAGATACACCGACAATATAAATTCAAGGTTTTGATATATTGATGTTCCAAGATACACCGACAATATAACTTCAAGGTGATATATTGATGTTCCAAGATACACCGACAATATAACTTCAAGGTGTTGATATATTGATGTTCCAAGATACACCGACAATATAACTTCAAGGTGTTGATATATTGATGTTCCAAGATACACCGACAATATAACTTCAAGGTGTTGATATATTGATGTTCCAAGATACACCGACAATATAAATTCAAGGTTTTGATATATTGATGTTCCAAGATACACCGACAATATAACTTCAAGGTGATATATTGATGTTCCAAGATACACCGACAATATAACTTCAAGGTGTTGATATATTGATGTTCCAAGATACACCGACAATATAACTTCAAGGTGTTGATATATTGATGTTCCAAGATACACCGACAATATAACTTCAAGGTGTTGATATATTGATGTTCCAAGATACACCGACAATATAACTTCAAGGTTTTGATATATTGATGTTCCAAGATACACCGACAATATAACTTCAAGGTGATATATTGATGTTCCAAGATACACCGACAACATAACTTCAAGCTTGGATGTGTAACATGACATTGTTCCACTGGGTTAGTTGGGTTCAACGCCGCTTTTATCATTGTTATGATACACGAACACAATGGCTTCAATGTATAAATATATTGCTGTCCAAAGATTCACGGAAACGTCAGCTTCAGTGTGTAAACATATTGATGGTCAAACATTCACGGAAATATTCGCTTCAAAGTGTAAATATATTGATGTCCCAAGATTCAAGGAAACGTTACCTTCAATATTAAAAGTAACGGTGTCCCAAAATTCACATAAACGTCAGCTTTAATGTGTAAATATATTGATGTCCCAAGATTCAAGGAAACGTTACCTTCAATATTAAAAGTAATGGTGTCCCAAAATTCACATAAACGTCAGCTTTAATGTGTAAATATATTGATGTCCCAAGATTCAAGGAAACGTTACCTTCAATATTAAAGGTAATGGTGTCCCAACATTCACAGAAACGTTAGCTTCAAAGTGTAAATATATTGCTGTCCAAAGATTCACTGAAACGTCAGCTTTAATGTGTAAATATATTGATGTCCCAAGATTCACGGAAACGTCAGCTTTAATGTGTAAATATATTGATGTCCCAAGATTCAAGGAAACGTTACCTTCAATATTAAAGGTAATGGTGTCCCAACATTCACAGAAACGTTAGCTTCAAAGTGTAAATATGTTGCTGTCCCAAGATTCACTGAAGCGTTAGCTTGAATGTGTTAATATATTGATTTCCTAAGATTCACGGAAACGTACCTTTAATGTGTAAATATATTTATGTTCCAACATTCACAGAAACGTTAGCTGTTAAAGTGCCCCATGATTCATTTAAACGTCAGCTTTGAAGTGTAAATCTCGTGATGTCCCAAGAGTCATGGAAACGTCAGCTTTAATGATTAAATATATTAATGACGTAAGATTGACAAAAACGTCAGCTTTGAAGTGTGAATATATTGATGACCCAAGAATCACGGAAACGTCAGCTTCAGTGTGTAAACATATCGATGTCCTAAGATTCACGAAAACGTTAGCTGCCCTGGGTAAATAAGTTGTTTATTGCGTCTTCTACTTTTCTCTTGGATAGTTCCTTAGTGTCTAATAGTAAATTATTGTGCACGATCTGCATCAGATACTGTTACGCAGATTCTACGTTCTAATGAGTAAGGGACACTGTTTTTTATAAGACGAGCGTGACAGGAACTGTAATTGAGATATTATTTGGAATTAGTTGGTTTCAATGTTATTGTTTGATATTGCAACCACTACATCTAGGAACGAAATACTTTTATCGTTCTTTAAAGTAAAGGTTAAACGTGGATGGAGTGTCTGTAAAATGTCTATCAAACATTGTAACGCCTCTTCACTCTCATTCCACTAAACACAACAATCATCTTTTCTATTTGTTTTGAAATCCCTGTCCTAATTCAATGCCTAATTCTTTATTAATTGTTTAGTATAATTTCCCTCAAAAAAATAGCCAAGTGTCGCATAAGTCGGGGTCATTTTGCTCCCATTGCTGTGCCTATAACTTGCTTGTAATTAGATCAGTCAAAATGAAATGTATTATTGTTTGGAATAAACCCAATGCTATAATATCGATAATGAATTCCGGGGTAATGGCTTCTCGGGTTTCCGATTGGTTGTTATTTATCCAGTTATTTATTATAGATTCTATGCCGTGATCGAGTACCATTTTCGACTGAGGCGGGAAGTTGGTTTAGAGAACCAGTGGTATCTTTTATGTAGCTTTTGACATGTTTAGTGATTGGTTTTAGCACTTAATATACACAAAGTCACCGATTCAATGTGTGTGGCATTTTGTATTCAAACATTACATTTGATCTTAGACACTGCCACATTATTACCTCGTTAACAAAATCGTTTCAATAAATCAACAAACACAACGTCCAATTTTGTCTTTTTGTACATAAACGTTTTTGTATACTGAGTACAAGGTAAAGATGTGGTCAGTTGCTGAGTGTCCATAGACGCTCTGAAAGACAGCTTGTGACTCATGTATCTTATCACGCTAGTAAGGATCACAATAAATGTCAGTTCATCCAAGAGTCATCCAAAAGTCACATTTACATTCCCATCTCCATTCTCGTTCTCAGTTGTTCACGTGCCACACGTCAAACACCACATGCCATGGAGAACACCATTCAACGTTGTTACAAGTTCATTTCCAAACAAAGTCCACAACACATACATCTCATCCCAAAGTTGTTGTGTATTCAGTTTCAATTAAAGTTCATAATATGCATCTCATCTCATCATCATCAATTATCAAGAAATACCCCAAACCTGGAAGATTGACATTTTGGTAGACACATATTATTTTCTAACCTTTACTTCTTTCTTTTCTTATTTCTGACCGCATGGGTCCTCATTCTCTCCTTGCATAAACTAAAAAGCATGGCATGAAGCCTAAACAGAGTTACCTTCATTGGCTAAACTCCTGAAGCATGCATAAAATGATAATCTTTTTACTGCTTAATTTGACATAAAAATTAAAGAAAATTCTAAACTTTAATAATTTGGAAAAATAAATACAAATTATTTCAGAGATTTTTTTTTTTACCGTAACAACCCATAGCGTTCTGAGGTTGTCATATACCTCTATAATTGTCAGCTTTGTTCTAATCCCCTTTTTTATTCAATGGCATGATAATTGATATTGACAAACCTTCAAGGAAAACATCAGAATCTATCACTGCTTTAACCATAATTTAATACACAATATTTGATGCCTAGTCATACTTGATTTCTCATATTAATACATCCTTTTGACCAACCTAATTCAAGCATCGTTTTGCTCTTGTTATGATTCAAATTAGAGTCTAGTTGTTGGTGACCGGATACAGACATACAAACACGTTGGTTAATGCAAACGACACTGACAATAAAGATATATAAAGTAACTTTTTAGGAAACGATCAAAGGTTTGTTTTCTTTTTGAGAAAAACAACCGATATTGACATTGGCTTTTAATTACAAGAATCACTTGAGTGGAAATTGAACAATAACCATTTCTGCTCAAGTATACTTTAATTCACATGAAACATTAAAGATGGTAAAGGACGATAACTCTTGTCTGCGCACGCATTCTCTAATTCACTTACTACACATGCGCACCAATAATGGAGTACTAATCGCTCGGTCAGTTTCAGAAAGATGGCCTTGAAGGCTGTGTTCATCCAATAAGACCAGGGTGAGACAATGCGCCTGCATTTCCAATATGACACTCCTTTTCTCCTGGGTAGTCCACACAAAGCATTGTTTGGGGTCCTCTGTGAGATACAGACAAAGAGAAGACCTATTAATGGACCTTGTAAGTTTGACCTACTGGATATCTATCGAATCACATAATAACAGAGTTTGCTGATTATGAGAATGTGCAAGACACTAATTATGAGCTTATTACTCTGTCAACACTCTTTGACGGTCAGTGTGAATGTGTCCGTAATGTGAAAGTATGGGTTGGCACAATTGTATTAAGACATTAAAAAAGCAGTGTATGCGTTCGAGACATCATAACTGGCACATTTCGTTCTCGACAAATGTACCTGAAATATATGTGAGTGGAATCCCAGAAAAGTAAATTGATCCTGAGTATTGAGATCATTCTGGCAATAAATGATGGCAATGTTACAAGGAGACAATATTGCAATGTACAATAAGACAATGATGCGTGATCCATTTTCAAGGGGAAGGTGGTATGTAGGTAAGGACGATGTTTTGGCATGTCAACTTGTGTACGTACACTGCAGTAAATGTGTTTCAATCCTACACGTGACAAATGTTTATGGAAGTTTATCGCAACACGGTTAGGATGTTGACGATGGAAAGGGACGAGAACATCACTTCATATATAGTGTGGGGTGTAGTCAGACATGTAATGTTTTCGGGGCGGTCGGGTAGCCTAGTGGTTAAAGCTTTCGCTCGTCACTCCAAAGACCCGGGTTCGATTCCCGACATGGGTACAATGTGTGAAGCCCATTTCTGGTGTCCCCCGCCGTGATGTTGCTGGAATATTGCTAAAAGCGGCGTAAAACCATACTCACTCACTCACTGTCATGTTTTCATTCTTACACAAAATTACCTTGGGCTGTCCTGACAGGAAGACGCAATGTTTCTGTCCCTCAGTCGCTTTTTCAGTTCGGAGATGTTGTTGCTGTTACATGTTGATCTACATACATCAAATGGAGGGTAATTAGATGGACATATTCCGAAATCACATGTGTTTGGTAATACCGACCTCTGTGTAAACACTGAGACCATCTTGCAAGCATTCCTCTTCTTTCACAACTTGGGGCACTGGTGTGTTAGTCGTAGTCTAAAGCGACGCAATTCGCCACGCAGTGTTGCGTCTCTAAGGCGTCCAAGAAACCTAGGATCGAGTGTTTGAATCACGAAACCCTGATTATGGCGCTAGGGCTGTCGCCACTTTACCCGTGTTACTGGGTTTCAGGATGAACATGCATCACTTTCTCCCACATCAACCTTACACGCCGTGATATAACATTACTGTTCAAAGTGACGTTAATACAAATTCACTCACGCAAATTTTGCAGGGATAAGTTACAGAACCATGGACCCATGATTGTCATGACGTTCGGGGACACTGGACCGAAACTTGTTCAACAAAAACTTGGGGAACTAAACTTGCTTTAGCGTATGCTCTACACATACTTTGTTAGTTGCAAAAAGGTTCGAGTGAGTGAGTGAGTGAGTGAGTGAGTTGGGTTTAACGCCGCTTTTAACAGTATTCCAGTTATATCGCGGCGTGTCAGCTTAATGTGGGAGGAAAGCCCGAAGTGATGCAGGTCACAGACGTTTACCACTTCGGTGAAACCCACGAGCACGGGTATGGTGCTAACAAACCTAGAAACATAATCGGCGCGAACCGGGATTCGAACCCACAATCTTAGGTTTCTGGCGTGCCCAAGGGACGTAACTCTGCACAGCGAATCGCGGCGCCATAGACGACTGGGTCACCCTCGGTCCCCCCCCCCATTTTTTTTTATATATATTGATATTGATATATGTAATTTATGTCATATAATCTGCGTTAAATTGCGTTCTAATTGCATTTTCAAAACATACTATCAATGTCAATTGCTCATTATACTCCTAACATTAAGAGGGCGGTCGGGTAGCCTAGTGGTTAAAGCGTTCGCTCGTCACGCCGAAGACCCGGGTTCGATTCCCGACATGGGTACAATGTGTGAAGCCCATTTCTGGTGTCCCCCGCCGTGATATTGCTGGAATATTGCTAAAAGCGGCGTAAAACCATACACACTCACTCACCTAACGATAAATTCATGATTTTATCAGTATCGATTTCACCAATCACAACTATTTAAAAAAATTACCAACTAATATAATACAAAATGAAGTGTGTATACATTGTCGAGTATAACATTGGGCTGCATCTATCCTGTAAATGTTTGGGATCCCCCGCCATAATAATGTTCCAATGTATTCTGTCAGATTCACACAACCGTGGTCGTCCACAAAACGTTAACTATTGTTCTTGAAAGGATACATATGGGAAACTGCACATTATAACATTATGGTCTTACACCTTCAAACATACCTTATCTTTTGTCCCGGTATATGAACCATAAGAATATTGACCTTTGACAGTTGGCTAGCGTTCATGTTCGGTACTTCCCACGTTGCAAAGAAACTAGAAAAAAAAGATAAAAGAAAATTATATGGCATGTTAAGCAACGTGTACTTGCTTTATGGAGTGTAGCATATAACTTGTATTCCTGCATTGACGTATCAGAAAGCTAAAACATATTTAAGAATCACATAATTATGAACAAAAACCAATTAAGCATCCCGTAACCCTAAACTACCCGTTATGGACGCATAAACTTACGATGAATCTCGGAATGGCTGGTCTCTGCTTGCATTCAACATAACATGGGCTTCGCCACTGGCATGGGATGCATACTGTAAAAACAGTCAGAGGTATGTTTCATTTCCGCCGATAAAATCGATGTATTAAGGAGATGCTTACAACGCTGGACAGCTCATACCGACGTTTTCTTATAAAGTGATGTCCAATATGTGTATCATAATTGTAATGACTAAAATTATTATGTGCAATGCTATTCTTTCTTGCAAAGAAAAGCAGTAAATGTGTTTCAGTTCAGAAGCATATAGAAAAGTACACTTCTAAGAATTAAGCATGTTGAATCTGTACTCAACCGATTGTAGAGAATATATTTCACAGTTTGTCAGCACCACATGCATGCTCAAAGCTTTCAGAAAAGTGATCAATGACTAAGACATCACTTTCCTCCTACATCAGGCAGACTTGCCATTACGTCACTCAACTATTGTTCGAAGCGGCGTTTAAACCAACTAACCCACTTGAACCTTGTATTGAGACGTAGAACAGACTAACTGATTAATAAGCAAATGTAACGTCACATAATGCCCATACATTTTTCGACGCCATGGCCCAGAAGGAAAACTCAGCATTGTTTGTACAGTTGGCAGTCTGGTCGAATCCAGGACAATCTGCACCATACGTTATCCCAGGGAGATGGGTCTGGGCACAGAACTGTAACCCATCAACCATGTAACCTGCAATTGAAGTGTGAGTGAGTGAGTGAGTTGGTTTTAACGTCGTTTTGAACAGTATTCCAGTTATATCACGGCGTGTCAGCTTGGGGAGGAAAGCCCGGAGTGATGCAGGCCTCGGAGGTTTACCACTTCGGTGAAACCCAGGAACACGGGTATGGTGCTGACAAACCTAGAAACATAATGGGGGCGAAGCGGGATTCGAACCCACAATCATAGGTTTCTTGCATGCCCAAAGGACGCAACTCTGCACAGCAAATCGCGGCGCCTAACACGACTGGGCCACCCGTGACCCCTGCAATTGAAGACAACATGCAATACATTCCTAAGTACTACCCACCTCTTTCTACAGAATGTAAAGGGAAGTGCAAGCGGTAATATTGAAATTGTCCAACCTATTCTGTATACTCAACTATTAAAGTCGTCCTATGCAAACCTGGAAATGAAAATAAACAACCGCCAATTTGTCTATGACCACATGGAGATGAACTATTTTGTACAAATGATACAAGATCAGGTAAATACAGACCAAAATTGTCACCCAAACCAATGGTTATTATCTGCCCGTGCAATTCGAAGTATGGTCACACTGTTTTCATTCCACCTCATTCTCAGCAGCATATGGCAATATGCGCTGGAAAAAATACCTTGATTTCCGAGTATTGAAACTGTGCAAGAACTATTTTGATCCTACAAATGGGTGATAGCCAATGTCAGGTGACAGTACAACTAACTGTGTGTTATTGGGAGACTGTCAGCAGTAAATATTACTTTCCACAATGCCTGTGTTGATATGTAGAACAATAAATTTCGTGCCGCGAATACACATTACCTTTGTATAACAAAACCAAAGCTGCGAACAAAGTTACCTATGAGGGTGTCTTCAAGCACTGTTGCTCTCTGCCCACGGTTGCTGTACATCTGCACGACACCATAAACACCAGACCAGAACATACTCTGAAACAGGAGAAACCACACGTTGTGAGCGTGTGTGTATTTAGAGTATGGCAGATACTGATTAAAAGAAGATTGTCACTGCTAAGGATATTGCTATACTAGTGGGAAAAAGTTCATGTGCATCACTGACGATCATGAGAAATATTGAATAAACGTAAACGTAAAATAGCAATAAATATGTTCTATCAAGGGTGGCAATGCAACTTGGAAAATAGTTCACGTTATGATTTGTACAGAACATTTAAGACTCTATTAGAGCCAGAAAAATATCTATCAGTTTTAACAAATAGTCACCTAAGAAATGGATATATTAAATACAGACTTGGCTTGTCAAAACTTATGATTAACTATGGACGGAATATATCACTTGAAAGAATACAAAGAATTTGTCCATTCTGTAACTCTGCAATAGAAGACGAAATACATTTTACCTTTGAATGTCCTTATTATGCAGAATTACGTACTAAATATATACCAGAATGTTTCTTATCTAAGACAAGTAGAATAGCTTTTGTTTCTATTTTGTCATCGAATGATGCCGATGTAATGTTTAAACTGTCTTTATTTGTAAAACATGGGATGGAACTACGAAATAACATGTTGAGTGGAAATTCATAATTTTAATTACCTCACCCTAGAAAGTCCTCATGATTATCACCGATTGTTAAATGAATGTTATATTTATATAATTTTTGTTGTATCTCCCAATCTGTAAATTCTCACCCACTGTATTTATCTGAACTTGTATATGGGCCGATGGCCTTTGATACAATAAACATCTTTGACTTGACTTGACTAAACAAATTGGACCAAGGCCTATTGCTGCTTGACCAGCGTGACCAGTTGTGTTGGAAGTCGGCGTAAACCACGTTTCATTTCATCCACACATCTGTCGGGCGACAGATCTGGCCAAACAGCTGGCTAAGGGAGTGTGGGGGGATTCTGGTGCCCAATGAAATCTGTGACCACACATGCAACGGAAGGGCTCGTATTCTCCAACTGTTTCGTGATGTGACGCCCTTGGGTCTGAATGAATGGGGGGACGGATAACTTCGTCATGGTACCGTGCACCTATCAAACTACCATCGATGACCACTGGAGGGTTCTGTAATGTTCAGAGATGTCTCTCCACGCCATTACTTTCACACTACCGAATGCATAACGTTGAACAACACACGGCATCCGACATCGATAAACACGCATCCTCATTGCTCGCAACCCCTCATTTTCAGATAGACATGGCATAACGTTTACGAGGTTGCTTTTCACTGTTAAATCACTTCAACGATTTTCTCTGTTTGAATTGTCTCTGTCCCACGTGTACTGTAAATGTGTGACCAACTGCAATGGAATTTTATGCATGCAGTGATTGGACGCACGTGCAATTTCAGGGCCATTTTGACAAAGGCGTGATTCTGGTGATTTCTTATGGTGCACAGATTTTCCTTTGCGCTAGCATATGGGTAACTTAAAACAGGCATGGATAAATAAAGTATTTATTACGAATTAGCATAACCCCTATAGAGTAGTACATTTATAAGGATCTTTTTGCAATATCTTCGTCAAACTTTCTGTTTCAAAGTCTGATCACATTTAAAGTTATCTTTCAGTGGGCAATTTTATTTTTTAAGTCATTCAATTGCTTATATGATATCCACGTACCTGACCGGGAGAAACGTCAATATGGGCTGCTTTGATAAAGTCATCATATCGACTGTAACTTACATTACACACAGTCTGGAAGGCGAATGCAGAGATGAACTTATCTGCTAGAGCAGTACAGTTTCTGTGTCTAGATACCCTGGAAGAATAAACCTTTAATATTTTGCAATGAGCTTGGTTAATGGCGCTTTAAAGAGTACACCCGCAACCTTTTTTCAGTTGGTGCTTGTAACGTACGTACTCTGCACATGTTAAGTTTGGACGCTCGAAGTTACCTGACTGTCGATCCTTAGTAGGATTGTAACCATTTGATCTAAACTTAATGATGATGTTTATCGCTAGCAAAAATGGATATTGTTTAAAAAGCATTACTGTAAGTAATATTCCGTATCGCCGGAATGTCTTGTTTTCACCTTAAAAATATAAACAAACATGCAGCTTCTTCGTTAATTAATCTTCGCATTGTTTCGTGATTCTTACCCGTTCACACAGAATGGTCCAGGGTTGATGTTCGTCTGGTAGTCAACACACCTCCCCAACACCAACTCCCGTATGTCAGGAGTTGTTCCCTTCGCCACACACTGACCCTCGACCAGGACCTGGTGTATCACCAGTGTCAGGATCACTGCCAGTGTGTTTAGCTGAGATACCATTCTGATGGTCATCCACGAATACTTTGACTCGGACGTGTACATCTACTTCACTACAATGTTGTTTAGTTGACTCCACGTCACCTGCTTTAGGCTTATCTCTGGAGTGTGTACTTTGACTGTGGGTCACGACAACACTGGGTCGTAAAAATGATAAGACTTCCACTATTCAAAAATCAACTATCAGTAACGTTGTCCACTTGTTTGAAGCTGTTTTTAAACATTGTCCCTGGCAGTGGTATAAAATTGACTTAAGGCTAACAACCTGATTTAAGAATGATTGAGAATTTTCCAGTTGTGCTTTATGAACAAAATGTTAAAAATCAGTATCTTAAGAAATTGCTCAAATCATAAAGTCTATCTGCACCCGACATATTCGGGGAAAATCATTATTTCGTCTACTTCCTTACTTGTTTTATGAATGAACAGGGCGCCCGATAGAAATGTATACAAACCTCAAAAAGACAATATACGATGGAAGGACATATATATATATATACATTCTCGTTGAAGCTTCTAAACCATCTTATTTATTCTTTACGGGTGACTTTGTCAATGTATGAAAGACCATAGCCCTTGAAAACAGTTTACAAACAGATGATTTATCTTAACCTGAAAAAATCATAACTGGTTATGAATTTTGAACAATTTCCAAAGGTGTATGTGCTCATAAACGCACGGCATCGTTCTACTGTGATATATTTGATGTGCAACAGTTGCTATAGAGAGCTAAAAGACGTAGGGCTTACATGAGAGAAAAGTCTTTTTTCCTTTCCTTTCAGCGAATATCTTTCCAATACAATGCAAATAGAATTGTGATATCTGTTCATTTTTTCAAACTGGATGATTAAACTGTTTAATTGAGTCATCCCAATAAAATGGGAGTATGTGAGTTCTACTTTCTTCGGTTAAATTGATTTTATCGCCCATGTCTAAGATTGGAATGTCTCACAATTTCTTAGTATCATAAATACATCTGGAATAAGTCCATGCCATTTGTAATAGTCACGAAGATGTGTTGTAAATAGTGATTTGGTACGCATGTTTTAATCAACAATGGAGATATCATGGCGATAAAAGGAGATAAAGGAGATGTACGAGTATACTGAAAACCACAGTGACCGCTATGGCGTGATGTTAGTATATATCAGGATTTAGTGTAAAAAAAGCCCTTTTTCTAACACATCAAAACTATAAGTTTCAAGAGATGTTTACTAAAACATTTATTTTCAGATAGTTGTAAATTAAAAAGACGAAAAAACAATCTAAATTGACATTTTAAAGAAAGTAGCAATTATGTTAAAAAGCACTGCAGCAGCCCAAGTGTTCAAAAGTTCGTGTAAGAGCACCTAAAATCACCAATTATTGTTAAAGGGACATTGATGGTGAGGTGAGGTGAAATGGGGTTTAACGTCGAGTCTATAATAATAATCGAGTCTGGACCAGACAATCCAGTGATTAGCACCGATTTACGTAATTGGGATACGTTGACATGCATCAACCAAGTCAGCGAGCCTGACTACCCGATCCCGTTAGTCGCCTCTTACGACAAGCATAGTCGCCTTTTACGGCAAGCATGGGTTGCTGAAGGCCTATTCTACCCCGGATCTTCACGGGTCACTTCAGAACTAAAATGGACAAAACTGGGTATAGAAACTGTCCCTATCATATACCAGAATTAAATGTTGGGGGAAGGAATTTCAGCGTGGGGCGCCAATGTTACGGCCATCAAAATGTACAGATCCTCTGACAGGATTCGAACCACGGACATTCTACCCTGACATTGAAGAATGCTTGATTCGGACTCACTACAAGGAGGTCTCAATCTTCCAACTAATACCTCTAAATCATGTCTTTTTTCCACACAAAAACGTGCGTATGAATACATATATAGCCTACGACGATCCAAAAATAGAAATGGCTGCCGATGACCTTCAGAAATGACTGCGTTCGCTATCGGTGCATTGTCGGATGTTCTTGAGCCCTGGGCAAGGTGGGTGATGACATGACACCACTGAACGAAGGCATGTCATTTGCATACAAATTCTAACGTGTATTGTGAGTGAGTGAATTGGGTTTAACGCCGCTTTTAACAGTATTCCAGTTATATCACGGCGTGTCAGCTTAATGTGGGAGGAAAGCCCCAAGTGATGCAGGTCTTAGACGTTTACCACTTCGGTGAAACCCACGAGCACGGGTATGGTGTTGACAAACCTAGAAACATAATCTGGGCGAACCGAGATTCGAACCCACAATCAAAGGTTTCCGACGTGCCTAAAGGACGCAACTCTGCGCAGCGAATCGCGGCGCCTTATATAACTGGAATACTGTTAAAAGCGGCGTTAAACCAAACTCACTCACTCACTCACTATTAATGAGTTGCATGGCATCAGTGCCTCGACAACCATTAAGAATTGTGTCAATTTAATGATCACCCTCACATACTATGTTATTGAACCCTAGAAAGAATATTTTATGCCTAAAATGTGGTCGCAATAAAATACACATAAAAGATGGTGTGTTAAGCTCGACGCGTGTTTGGTCGCACCATCAACCAGACCCGACTTCGTTAGTTTCACTGTCTGTGAAAATGCGACAACGACACATACCTTGACAAATGTCGTGTTGTCGCATTGTTGGCCTTTGGCGAACACCAAAAATACTACTGAAAGTATGACAATACGACTACTGGTCAAAATGTGAAAACTGTTGCGACGTTGATTAAATGTTCTGTCATGCAACGTGCACCATTAGAGCAAGTAGTAATCGTCTGGTCAATTACAGAGAGATGGACTTGAGTGCTGCGTTCAACACTGCAATGTGTACTCCAACAGAAACAAGGTGAGACGACGCGCTTGTTGTCCTGTCCATGTCACACTCCCTCTCTCCCGGGTAGTCCACACACACCATTGTTTGGGGTCCTCTGTGGGATAAAGATACAGAGGTGTCCACGTAATGATCATAGTCTATGTAAGTTTAACCGTGTGGATATTTAACGAATTTCAAAAATAAGAGTATAATATGAGTGAGTGATTATGGTTTAACGCCGCTTTGTAGACATATTCCAGCAATATCACGGAGGGGGACATCAGAAATGGGCTTCACACATTGTACCCATGTCGGGAATCGAACCCGGGTCTTCGGTATGACGAGCTAACGCTTTAACCACTAGGCTAAAACCGAACTCACTCCCTCACTGTACGTGGTTATGATTGAGTTTACATCCTAAAAGTGACACATGTTAATGCAGGTTTTTCGCAACTTGGTTAGCGTGTTAACGCATCAAAGGACCTGTGATATCACTTCAAATAGAGTTGTTGTTTTTTGTAAGACATTATGTTCTTATTCCTATACAAAATTACCTTGGGCTGTCCTGACAAGAAGACGCAATGTTTCTATCCCTCAGTCGCTTTTTCAGTTCAGAGATGTTGTTGCTGTTACATGTTGATCTACATACAACAAATTGAGAATAAATAATTAACCGAGATATTCCTAAATTACACGTTGGTTCGAATCCCGCCCGGTTCTCCCTGACTGTGTTTCACAAACTTTGTCAAAGCATATACAGTAAACTATGGTTATAACGAACATGCTTATAACGAACTGACGGATATAACGAACTTACTTTTTGGTCCCGACTACTTGCTGTAGTCATGCTGTATATGTACTTATAACGAACTACGGTTATAACGAACACGCTTATAACGAACTGACGGATATAACGAACTTACTTTTTGGTCCCGACTACTTGCTGTAGTCATGCTGTATATGTGCTTATAACGAACTACGGTTATAACGAACTAAAATTAGTAGTCCCTTTGAGTTCGTTATAACCGTAGTTTACTGTACCTGTGCTTGTGGGTATCACCAAAGTGGTGAACGTCACTGCGGGATTTCCTTTCACATGAAATTGACACGCCTTGATATAACTGTAATATTGTGCGTATTGTGCGTAATTGTTTTAGCAGAACAAGGGACCCATACTTGGTTATGACGTTCGGGAATTATGAAACGGGCATAAATGATATTTTTGGAGTGTAATTTACTTTATGTATTCTGATTGTATTTTCAAAAATGCTTCTTTATGTCTATTGCCCATTGTACTTCTTTATGGTGCATTCATGTTTGTTTGTTGTTTAACTCCGCACTATAACCCAGCTATATGACGGCTGTCTGTAAATAATCGGGTCTGGACCAGACAATCCCGTGATTGACTTCGTGAGCATCGATCTAAGCAATTGGAAAATGATAACATGCATTTACCAAGTCAGCGAGCCTGACCACCCCATCCCGTTACTCGATCTTGCGACAAGCATGGGTTGCTGAAGACCAATTCTAACTCGGAACGTGACGGGTGGATACATTCATGGTTTAATCAGTATTGATTTTCACAATAAACACACACATGCATTTTAAAAAAAAATTCTGACAAATTATGTCCACGTATAATGAATCGTACAGTGTATTTTCTTGTGCAACACCGGGCTGTATCCGTGAATACTAACTAATGTTCTTGGAAAGATACATATGGGAAACTGAACATTATAATATTATGGTCTTACACCTTCAAACATACCTTATCTTTTGTCCCGGTATATGAACCATAAGAATATTGACCTTTGACAGTTGGCTAGCGTCCATATTCGGTACTTCCCAAGTTGCAAAGAAACTAGAAAAAAAAGAAGAAAGATAATTACTCAGCTTTTTAAGACACTCGTTCATCCGAAACCAAGGCAAGAGTACTGCTTCAACCAACCATTTACTAGGGATATGGATGAGAATATAACAAAACGCCATTCCTTTGAAACCAAATCATGTACACATGTACAGATACCATTTAGACATGCCCGACCCGGAAGCCGGCCACTATGTATGTACATGTATATACTTACGATGAATCTCGGAATGGCTGGTCTCTGCTTGCATTCAACATAACATGGGCTTCGCCACTGGCATGGGATGCATACTGTAAAAACAGTCAGAGGTATGTTTCATTTTCCCCATTAAAATATTTTCTCCATGTGGTAGTTATTCTGTGCATCTATGTATATATGACGTCTTTCCTGGCTGGTGTAACCAAAGTGGAAAATGTGTAAGGTATCATTCATCAATTGTGTCCTATGGTGTGCAATATACTATTTGATAAATACCGTATTCGACGTGATAAGCGCCCCGCTCTAATAAGCGCCCACGGCGATATTTGCTAATATATTGGATAGTGAACAATCCCAATTAGCACCCTTCCGTTTGATCAATGTACACAAGACTTATTTATTCGTGTATAATACGCACTTGTGTGTTATATGCAAACTTAATCAATGGCAATTATATTCTGGATAAATATATCTGTCGTGTATAATACACACAGACTTTTCTTTTGTATCATGTCAGGCTGTCAGCATAAACCACGAAATTTACAATCTTTCAACTTTCTCCAAAATTTAATTCTAATAAGAACCCCCTATTTCAAATTTTGAGAGCGCACTGGGCGCTTATTACGGTAAGTAAATTAACGTCACATAGTGCCCATACATGTTTCGACGCCATGGCCCAGAAGGAAAACTCAGCATTGTTTGTACAGTTGGCAGTCTGGTCGAATCCAGGACAGTCTGCACCATAAGTTATCCCAGGGGAATCTGTCTGGGCACAAAACTGTAAGCCATCAACCATGTAACCTGCAATTGGAGATAAGATACATAAACAACATGTCGTTTTTTCAATACTATGCTCTTTCTGAAAATGTGAAGTGACATACAAGAGGGAATATGGAAATATACAAATGTAATACAATGGATATTGTCTTTACCCTTATACATACTTCTCCAACTTTACATAGGACGTCCTTTTGTCCATGTTTGGAACAATGCATTTCTTAATGCAAATATATGTCTTATAACAATCCAAAGATGCGTGCAGCGTTACCTATGAGGGTATCTTCGAGCACTGTTGCTCTCTGCCCACGGTTGCTGTACATCTGCACGACACCATACACACCAGACCAGAACATACTCTGCAACAGGAATTAGTTAGTCAAACGTTATGAGCGTCTGTGTGTTTCGTATGTGGCACCAACTCTTGAAATGAAGATAGAAACAAAACATAATATATTCTTGTAATAGGAACGGACAAAATGTATACGCCATCAAGAAAAATAAAGTAGAACCCCTATGGGGGATTGCCTAAAAGTCGGGCCAAGAAAAGTCGGGCCGGGCCAGCGGGTAATACTGAAAATGGATTGCAGAATAATAAAACGAAACGTGCATATCTAGGCAGATCTCAAATGTCAAGAAACGGATAGTTTTGCTCATTTAATTGAGTTTGAATCAAAATGTATCTTCAGCAATGTAATAAACTGATAATTATAGCTACATACCGAGAGTTGATACCGAAAAGTCAGTGTCTTGACTGTGTCTTTACTTTGATAAGAAGGTTTCTCACCGACCTTATCGTGAAGGGGTGTGATGTCCTGGGCAGGGATTCGAAATGACAGTGTTTTGACTACTCTTCTTTCATCAATTAACGTGTTTGGCATCCCTAATTAACCTTTACTAATTCATGTTAAACCAACACAGGATGTTTCCTGCAAGTGGATATTTGCGAATGTCATAGGACTGACACGACACATGTTAATAACTGTCAAAGCGCTTCTAAAATTACAACACATACTTTACATCTATAGACTAATTATAATATCATATCTACCTATATAACACTTTAGTGTCTCATATTGCAGTAAACCCTCTCATCCAAAACTTAATAAACCAAAACATCAGCCCTAAAAACCAAGCTCTAGCTCGTAAACACCCCTTCCTTACCCCAATATCCCAAAGAATAACAAACTACTTAAATGAACACCAAATTAAAAATCTTAAACAAAACTGCAAACAATCAAATATCTTCACCCCTTAACTTAAAATACCCAAAATAGACACAACACTAGCTAGCCAAATAAATAAACAAACCGACCCAAACATAGCTAAAACTACCACACTAGCATACATACACGAAAATTGGCCAAATTGGTGTCACATTTACACGGACGGATCCTCAGATCCGACCTCCAAACACACGCGTTTCGGAGTCCATACCACACAACCAACTAAAACCACACAATCCTTTCGACTCCCAAATAACCAATCAATATTCACGGCAGAACTAATGGGCATGGCCTCAGCCCTCCATAATCAAGAACCCCAAAACCACAAAAAAAATCCTAATACTTACCGACTCCCTAAGTGGACTGCAAGCCCTCCAAAACAAAAATACCAAAAAACGACATAAATTAACGCAGCTAAATTATCCCTCAAAATCCCAGAAATAAGCTTAAACTTACCCATCTCAAAATCAGAAATTAAAAGTGTAAACAAGCAAAAAATCACAAAAAATGGCATAACCTATATCTAAACTCAAATTGCCAAATCAAAAAATGCTCAGCAAACCACTAACCAAACCAAAAACTCTCCATCCATCAAAAAAAATCGACAGAGTAATCACTAAACTCCAAACAGGACACACCAACCTAAATAACCACCTAAATTTTAAAAAAAACCACACTACAGGTAACTGCCCACACTGCAAACAACTAGAAACCCCAGAACACTGCACACACTACCTAACACATCGAACCGCATTACAAACCACCCTCAATCTAAACAAGGCTCTCACTCTAGAAGCAATACTGAACCCACAAAATAAACTAGAAAACTTCAAGGCCTTAGGCGTATTCTTAATCAAAACGGAACTAATAAAACGCATCTAAAAACATAATAACCTACCAAATCAAAATCACATAAACAAACAAACATCCACCATACCCAGCTCCCTTAGTTCTCCTCCCCAACCCCATCGACATCTATTCCAAATCTCAAAATTCCCAAATTCTATATAAGCAACCCCTAAAGCCCCCTCTTGGGTTGCACAGACCACTTTCGCCCCTTTCGGAAACACATTAAATGGCCTGGCCGGGCCCGTGTGCGAAATACGCATCAGTCGGAAAGCGCACGTTAAATCTCCAAAGTAAGTAAGTAAGTGAGCATATTGCAGTAGCAAACACGGTGCTCAAAAGTGAAGCCCTTTTCCCTCTACATTCTCTCTATCAGAAGTGTTTGGCTTGTGTTGGGTCCGACTTGGCCCGGGCTCTCAAAATCAACTTAAACCTGACAGATGTATCATCAAATGGATTCAATCTATAGATTAGTGTTATATCTACCTATATACCACTTTATAATGTCACGGTACATCGTATTTAAAGAAAACAATGGGCTCAAAGTGAAGTATTTTTACTGTATTTTCTTAAGAAAATCTATGTTAGAAGTGTTCGGTCCGACTTGGCCCGGGCTGTCAAAATCAACTTAAACCTCACAGATGTATCATCAAATGGATTCACATCTATAGATTAGTGTTATATCCACCTAAATATCACTTTATAGTGTCTCAGATGGCTGTAATTAAAGAAAACAAGGTGCTGAAGGTGAAGCCCTTTTCCTCAACATTCTCAACATAGTCTCTATCAAAAGTGTTTGGCTTGTGTTGGGTCCGGGCTGTCAAAATCAACTTTAAACACACAGATCTATCTTCAAATGTGTTTACTTCTATAGATTAGTGTTATATCTACCTATGTATCACTTTATAATGTCACAGTTTATCGCATATAAAGAAAATCATGAGTTCAAAGTGAAGCCCTTTTTCCTCTACATTCTCAACATGACTAGTATTATATGTACCTATATAACACTTAATAATGTCGCACGATAACTCAAAGAAAAAGTGGTCTGTTAAAGTCGATCACTTTCACTGTATCTTCTCAAGAAAATTTCACCAAATGTGTTAGACTGTCTGACTGACTGATATAGGAGATTTGACGTGCGCTTTCCGACTGTAGCGTATTTCGAACACGGGCCTGTCCGGACCATTTAGTGTATTCCGAAAAGGGTGAAAGTGGTGTGTGCAACCCAAGAGGGAGCTTAAGGGGGAGTAAGTAAGTAAGTAAGTAAGTAAGTAAGTAAGTAAGTAAGTAAGTAAGTAAGTAAGTAAGTAAGTAAGTAAGTAAGTAAGTAAGTAAGTAAGTAAGTAAGTAAGTAAGTAAGTAAGTAAGTAAGTAAGTAAGTAAGTAAGTAAGTAAGTAAGTAAGTAAGTAAGTAAGTAAGTAAGTAAGTAAGTAAGTAAGTAAGTAAGTAAGTAAGTAAGAGCCTTCGGTAGGAGTAGAGGGAATGATAAGCATAGACTTGCTAAGTATTTTATGATATTCATGATAGCTCAACAGAAACTTTGATTTATGTTTGAAGTACACCCCAAAAAGGGGGATAACACAAGTGATATATTAAGATGACATACAACTTATACATACTTACGTGTATAAACTACTATCAAACAGTGAGGATAACAGGTGTTTGCATAGAGGTGAGTGTATCCTGCACCACCGGTGGAACAAACACACGCAAAGGCAAGTTAGTTGTTAAACCCGAAAAACACGGAAACGATTAGAACAAGTCAAAACAGAGAATTTCATCGGACATAACTCCATTTGCTACTTCTGTGGTAGTCACCAATCAACCCATTTATACTTCCAAAAATAGCTTTAACCCTTTTAAAGCTTTTGAGAAATTCAACAGTATGGGTTTGGTCTGGCAAAGCAAGAAGCACAAATGGGGCATGTTTCGACCAATGATTAGAGTATTCTTGCAAGTCTAAGGGTCCAACAGGAGTTATTTCTGCGACATGCTATTTCAAAACCAAAAATTCAGAGGGATATATATGAAAAGAAAAATTGAAAAAATACAAATATAAATTCCTTCCAGGTAAAGGCTATCACTTGAAATCAAATTTACAAAGCAGATTTTAGTCAATGACACATCTCTTGGGGTAGAAGTTCATCTCTGTCACCATGCTATGGTATTTCTGGAAAGGAAAGTTAACTTACAAAGTTGTAATATACGCGAAAGGCTTAATGTTGCTGATTAAGCGCAAAGATATAATCTCTGACTGACTGCTCAGTAACATTCATGTAATATTAGTAATATTCAAATAAGTGTACTTGTTCTAGGTGTGTGTAACGTGGATACATATATATAAGCGTATAGTAGAAACGTCAACAATCTTGTAACTATGTATAAAATAATAAATAAGCCATGTCCTTCATATGTAACTGATCTTATACCACCAGCTGTGTCACAGAAGGTCAGTTATAATCTCAGAAACCGCCATGATTTTGTAGTTTCATTTGCACGGACATCTACGTTTAAAAGGTCTTATATTATAGATACATTAGACCAATGGAAAAATCTATCATCCGGAATCAGGGATAGTCCGTCAGTATCTTATTTTAAAGCTGTCGCATCTGAGCAGCCTACATCACCACCTATGCACTATAATTGCGGTGAGAGATCTACAAACATATTGCACACTAGATTGAGACACAATTGTAGCACACTAAATTCCAACCTGTTTCGTGTTAATTATCTGATACTATTTCCTGTAAATGCGGAGCTCCTTGTGAAAATTCATTCCATTTCTTCTTCCAATGTACCTTATATGATGATATTAGGGAGACATTACTGACAGCTATCGATAATCTTGGAGGACAAAAAAACTCTAAATAGTATTTTTTTTTTGGTGATCCAAATTTAGATGTTTTCCTGAATACAAAAATATTCTTGTCTGTAGACAAATTTATAGAAACGACTAACAGATTCAGTAGCTAGCATATTATTGTTTCCAAACTGTTAATCATTAATATTGTTAAATCTATATACAACACTAACATGTATAATATTAGGATATGTATGAGATGCACACTGTCTTCACTTTCCAGCACATTGTACATATCCTTCATATGAGCACTGTATATAAATTTATATTGCGCACTATGTTTCCACAATGTGATGCTTCAACTGTAAATTGTTCATTTTCATTATGCAATATTATGTATAACTGTATAAAGGTAATAAGTGCTGCACTTGCGCCCAATCCCTTTGTCATTTTGGACAATACAATATGTTTAATAATAATAATAATAAGCAACCAATGTATTATGATCAGGGTCCATTGTATCCCTTCAGCAAGTGCGAATCAGGTCCTATCACATCTGTTTTGTCATGTATCATGCGCTATACAGTCGAACCTCGCTTATCCGGACAATTGCTTTTTCTAAAATGTTGTCCGGATAAACGAGTTTCTGGATATCTGAATACCTTGTTATCTGACCAGAAGTCCTTCCCCTACCTCAATTCTACCGAGGCATATGTGAAATGAATGGCAAAAATATGATTTATGAAGGATCGACCAATTACTAATAAAAAACATTGTGCTGTACAGACCTACGCAGCATGCTGTGACAGCGCACTGCATTATTGAAACGGCTGAAGAAATGCATATGTATCCTAGTTTAGACTATGCACGTGTTTTGTGTACAGATACGAGGCGAGGTTGGGGCAACCTGACACACATGAGCATTAATAGCCATGTTTTTAGCTCTACTAGTTGACTGCCAAGGTTGAAGTCATTCATGTGTGAAAAATGTTGTCGAGGCATCTGTAAACGGCTAAAGAAATGCAAATGTTGCCTAGTTTAGACTATGCACTTGCTTTGTGTACAGGTGTGACTTCGAGGTAAGGGCAACCTGACACACATGAGCATTAATAGCCATGTTCCTGTACTTGTAGTTGACTGCCAAAAATGCTGTCGAGGCATCTGTACATCTTCTTTGTCGAATTGCATTATTAAAGTACATCAAGATGAGACATCATATACATTCATATATATTTGTTGAGCACGAAACCTTGAAGTGTAGCCAGGACATTTCCTCGAAACTATGGGCGGCCGTGTAGCTTCAATATCTTATAAATTATAGGTCAAGGTGTATTCAGTAAACAAAGATCTGAAGGGCTGTATTTCCTTCATCGAACACACTATGCGTTCATCACAGTTTGTGACGGATACGAACGAACTAGCACTTGTTTGGCAGGTAGTTAAGATTTGTTATCTTGTTCTCTCTCTACCCTCTACTTCCTTAATCACAATTTAAATCCTAAATAGACTTTCGGGCCTAACACTGTGGCAATTTTAGACCCTCTGTTTCTGTATTTGCATGAGCTCATTTCCCCTAAGGTTTACACATCTCATAAGACTAAGTCATCAATGATGTCAAAGCTGTCTGACATGTTTCTTATGAAGAGTTCATGAAGCTAAACAATCTCCAAGTGACTTAAGCACAAAAATACGCGAACACTTCTGACATAGAATTTCTTTAGAAAATACAGTAAAAATGCTTCACTTTGAGCCCCTTGTTTTCTTTATTAACGATGTACCGTGACATTATAAAGTGGTATATAGGTAGATATAACACTAATCTATAGATGTAAACACATTTGAAGATACATCTGTATGTTTAAAGTTGATTTTGGCCGCCCGGGCCAAGTCGGACCCAACACAAGCCAAACACTTCTGATAGAGACTATGTTGAGAATGTAGGGGAAAAGGGCTTTAGTTTGAGCACCTTGTTTTCTTTAAGTACAGCGATCTGAGACACTATAAAGTGGTATTGAGGCAGATATAATACTAATCTAAAGATGTGAATCCATTTGATGATACATCTGTATGTTTAAAGTTGATTTTGACAGCCCGGGCCAAGTCGGACCGAACACCTGTGTGACTGTTGAGAGTATGGGGAGAAGAGGTCTACTTTAAGCAACGTGTCTGCTTTAAATACGACGATCGGTGACATTATAAAGTGGTATTTACTTATATATAGAACGTTCCTACAAATATAAACACTATGCTCACAGATGGAAATTTGTATCACGATAGGTACGTTTCAAATCTTATTTCGTTTAACGATTGCTCTTTTACATGTTACCAAGATCAGCGACGCTTACACACAGCTCCACTTTCTGGTTTTCAAGCGATTTACTCCGAATTACTTATTTATGGTGCACTTTGTTGTTTGGTGATTGTTCATTAATGTCATGTGTGTATGTTGCATCAATTATATGTAGGTATGATCGCCGATAATGAAGTAATTAGCCAGTAACACTTTGGCCCGTCTTGGCCCGGCCCGGCCCGACTTTTAGGCAATGCATCCCTATGGCATACACTTATATGTGTATGTATGTAATATGCTTTCCGGATGTCACGGTTTGTGTTAACAAATCCTAGTGTGCTATGAAAGTGCATCAAGCTTGACCATCAATAGTCTGTCGTGACATCCGCCCCTCCAGCTGGAGGTGAGGTGAAATGGGGTTTAACGTCGCGTCCAAGATTATCGAATTTTGATGAATGTTGACGATGTCTATGGTCAGCACACTGAAGCAGTTACCTTTAATCTCGAAAGAAAAGAGATCGGTTTTGAGATGTGTGTATCTAACAAATTCCCAGTCTCATCACACCAACTTACCTGACCGGGAGGAACGTCAATCTCGGCTGCTTTGATAAAGTCATCATAACGACTGTAACTTACATTACACACAGGCTGGAAGGCGAATGCAGAGATGAACTTATCTGCTAGAGCAGTACAGTGTCTGTGGTTGGATACCCTGGAAAATAAACCTTCACTGCAGCTGATATCAGAATAAGCTGAAAGAATGAAAACTTTACAGTAAAACCTTTTCAACTCAACGTCCTTGGGACCATCGAAGACATTTATAAACGTCTTTCTAATAAAACATCCTCTCAGTACGAATCTTCAAGGCCAAAAGAGTCCAAGTATTTTACCAGGAGCTACCATCTTAAAAACATGTAAATGATATGGGTATATTTTTTATGAGAAATACCCACGCTTTTGTGCAAAAAAGTGTTTATTTGAAAATACATAAATGCTAGTACTTTCGTGGCATTTAGTCGGGCAACCAAGCAATGTTGGTTTTTTTTCGTTTATGTTTCCATAAACCGAAAAAAATAGGCAACGCCCACTAACGAACTGCTGTTTCTTGATAGGTTGATAATAGAATGGGCGGTGCTTGTGCTACATTATTTGCGCTGAACGATGCCGCTTTCGAACATTTCCAGTATTTTATTGGTTGATTATTGAATGTACAGTTTGTGTAGTTCTTATCGTTGACGTACTTTTTCATAAGATTTTAATTAAAAATAGTTCTGGTTTATTGTGTAAACACCAGTTTGCACATGTGTGATTTATACACTGAGCACACGGGTGTTTACATTTTAACTCCAGATACACGAAGCATATTGCAGCATATTCAAACAGTCAAACAGTTTCTTGCAAGTTGGTGTGGTTGTCATACATTTGCAGTATTCCGTCGAGCCTCTTACTGAGTCTCTCACATATCATTCGTTTTTTACCATTACCTGTGATGCCTTGGCAAAGAACCGTTGCATTTTATACCATTTTCACTGGTACCCGAAAACAGGTGCAGCTTCTAAACCAACGCGTTGTGTTTTGGAACGTTATGGTAACATTTTAACGTTTAGGTCAAATTCTTTTGTCCGGCAGTTTGAAAAGTGTTTTTTTTCCCACAATAACGTAAGGAAAACAAAATGTTTGCTCTTAAAGATATAGATTGATTTACCTCTTGAAAAACTTGTGATCACTGATAATATTATTTTCACAGTAGATTTACATATCCTCATAGGAGATCTGAAATTTACATCCTGTTATGAGTTGTATCCTGGCAACAACCTTTCTCACCTGAGCGGTAAATACTGCATCGATAATATATTCACTATGGTTCAATGTATCTTGACAGGTAAACGAGTCATCAAAATGTCAATTGTCTTGTTCAACTTACCCGTTCACACAGAATGCTCCAGGATTGATGTTCGTCTGGTAGTCAACACACCTCCCCAACACCAACTCCCGTATGTCAGGAGTTGTTCCCTTCGCCACACACTGACCCTCGACCAGGACCTGGTGTATCACCAGTGTCAGGATCACTGCCAGTGTGTTTAGCTGAGATAACATTCTGATGGTCATTCACGATACTTTGACTCAGACGTGTACATCTACTTCACTACAATGTTGTTCAGTTGACTCCACGTCACCTGTCTTAGGCTTATCTGTGGAATGTGAGCTTTGACTGTGGACACTGGGTTTTACAAGTGGCTCTATGACACTGGGTAGTACGAGTGGCTCTATGACACTGGATAGTACGAGTGACTCTATGACACTGGGTTGTACGAGTGGCTCTATGACACTGGGTAGTACGAGTGGCTCTATGACACTGGGTAGTACAAATGACTCTATGACACTGGGTAGTACAAATGGCTCTATGACACTGGGTAGTATAAGCGGCTCTATGACACTGGGTAGTACAAGTGGCTCTATGAGACTTGGTTGTACAAGTGGCTTTATGACACTGGGTAGTACAAGTGGCTCTATGACACTGGGTAGTACAAATGACTCTATGACACTGGGTAGTACAAATGGCTCTATGACACTGGGTAGTATAAGCAGCTCTATGACACTGGGTAGTACAAGTGGCTCTTTGACACTGGGTAGTACAAATGGCTCTATGACACTGGGTAGTACGAGTGGCTCTATGACACTGGGTTGTACAAGTGGATCTATGACACTGGAAAGTACGATTGGCTCTATGACACTGGGTTGTACAAGTGGCTCTATGACACTGGATAGTACAAGTTGTCCTATGACACTGGGTAGTAAAAGTGGCTCTATGATACTGGGTAGTACAGGTTGCTCTATGACACTTGGTAGTACGAGTGGTTCTATGACACTGGATAGTACGAGTGGCTCTATGACACTGGGTAGTAAAAGTGGCTCTATGACATTGGGTGGTACATGTGGCTCTATGACACTGGGTAGTACGAGTGTCTCTATGACACTGGGTAGTACAAGTGGCTCTATGACACTGGGTAGTACCAGTGGTTCTATGACACTGGGAAGTACAAGTGGTTTTATGACACTCGGTAGTACAAGTGGCTCAATGACACTGGGTAGTACGAGTGGCTCTATGACACTGGGTTTTACAAGTGGCTCTATGTCACTGGGTAGTACGAGTTGCTCTATGACACAGGGTAGTACGAGTGGCTAAATTACACTGGATACTACGAGTGGCGCTATGACACTGGGTAGTACAAGTGTCTCTATGACACTGGGTAGTAGAAGTGGCTCTATGACACTGGATAGAACTAGCGGCTCTATGACACAGGATAGTACGAGTGGCTCTATGACACTGGGTAGTACAAGTGGCTCTATAACACTGGATAGTACAAGTGGCTCTATGACACTGGATAGTACGAGTGGCTCTATGACACTGGATAGTACGAGTGACTCTATGACACTGGGTTGTACGAATGGCTCTATGACACTGGGTAGTATGAGTGGCTCTATGACACTGGGTACTACAAGTGGCTCTATGGCACTGGGTATTACGAGTGGCTCTATGACACTGGGTAGTACGAGTGGCTCTATGACACTGGGTAGTACAAATGACTCTATGACACTGGGTAGTACAAATGGCTCTATGACACTGGGTAGTATAAGTGGCTCTATGACACTGGGTAGTACAAGTGGCTCTATGATACTTGGTTGTACAAGTGGCTCTATGACACTGGGTAGTACAAATGGCTCTTTGACACTGGGTAGTACAAATGGCTCTATGACACTGGGTAGTACGAGTGGCTCTATGACACTGGGTAGTACAAGTGGATCTATGACACTGGATAGTACGATTGGCTCTATGACACTGGGTTGTACAACCGGCTCTATGACACTGGATAGTACAAGTTGTCCTATGACACTGGGTAGTACAAGTGGCTCTATGATACTGGGTAGTACAAGTGGCTCTATGACACTTGGTAGTACGAGTGGTTCTATGACACTGGATAGTACGAGTGGCTCTATGACACTGGGTAGTAAAAGTGGCTCTATGACACTGGGTGGTACATGTGGCTCTATGACACTGGGTAGTACAAGTGGCTCTATGACACTGGGTAGTACGAGTGGTTCTATGACACTGGGTAGTACCAGTGGCTCTATGACACTGTGTTGTATAAGTGGCTCTATGACACTGGGTAGTACGAGTGGCTCTATGACACTTGGTAGTATGAGTGGCTCTATGGCACTGGGTAGTACGAGTGGCTCTATGACACTGGGTTTTACAAGTGGCTCTATGTCACTGGGTAGTACGAGTTGCTCTATGACACTGGGTAGTACGAGTGGTTCAATGACACTGGGTAGTACAAGTGGCTCTATGACACTGGGTAGTACAAGTGGCTCTATGACACTGGGAAGTACAAGTGGTTTTATGACACTCGGTAGTACAAGTGGCTCAATGACACTGGGTAGTACGAGTGGCTCTATGACACTGGGTTTTACAAGTGGCTCTATGTCACTGGGTAGTACGAGTTGCTCTATGACACTGGGTAGTACGAGTGGCTCAATGACACTGGATACTACGAGTGGCGCTATGACACTGGGTAGTACAAGTGTCTCTATGACACTGGGTAGTAGAAGTGGCTCTATGACACTGGATAGAACTAGTGGCTCTATAACACTGGATAGTACGAGTGGCTCCATGACACTGGGTAGTACAAGTGGCTCTATGGCACTGGATAGTACAAGTGGCTCTATGACACTGGGTAGTACGAGTGGCTCTATGACACTGGATAGTACGAGTGACTCTATGACACTGGGTTGTACGAGTGGCTCTATGACACTGGGTAGTACAAGTGTCTCTATGACACTGGGTAGTACAAGTGGCTCTATGACACTGGGTAGTACGAGTGGCTCTATGACACTGGATAGTACGAGTGGCCCCATGACACTGGGTAGTACAAGTGGCTCTATGACACTGGATAGTACAAGTGGCTCTATGACACTGGGTTGTACAAGTGGCTCTATGACACTGGGTAGTACAAATGACTCTATGACACAGGGTTGTACAAGTGGCTCTATGGCACTGGGTAGTACAAGTGTCTCTATGACACTGGGTAGTACGAGTGGCTCTATGACACTGGATAGTACGAGTGGCTCTATGATACTGGGTAGTACAAGTGGCTCTATGACACTGGATAGTACAAGTGGCTCTATGACACTGGGTAGTACAAGTGGCTCTATGTCACTGGGTAGTACGAGTTGCTCTATGACACTGGGTAGTACGAGTGGTTCAATGACACTGGGTAGTACAAGTGGCTCTATGACACTGGGTAGTACAAGTGGCTCTATGACACTTGGAAGTACAAGTGGTTTTATGACACTCGGTAGTACAAGTGGCTCAATGACACTGGGTAGTACGAGTGGCTCTATGACACTGGGTTTTACAAGTGGCTCTATGTCACTGGGTAGTACGAGTTGCTCTATGACACTGGGTAGTACGAGTGGCTCAATGACACTGGATACTACGAGTGGCGCTATGACATTGGGTAGTACAAGTGTCTCTATGACACTGGGTAGTAGAAGTGGCTCTATGACACTGGATAGAACTAGTGGCTCTATAACACTGGATAGTACGAGTGGCTCCATGACACTGGGTAGTACAAGTGGCTCTATGACACTGGATAGTACAAGTGGCTCTATGACACTGGGTAGTACGAGTGGCTCTATGACACTGGATAGTACGAGTGACTCTATGACACTGGGTTGTACGAGTGGCTCTATGACACTGGGTAGTACAAGTGTCTCTATGACACTGGGTAGTACAAGTGGCTCTATGACACTGGGTAGTACGAGTGGCTCTATGACACTGGATAGTACGAGTGGCCCCATGACACTGGGTAGTACAAGTGGCTCTATGACACTGGATAGTACAAGTGGCTCTATGACACTGGGTAGTACAAGTGGCTCTATGACACTGGGTAGTACAAATGACTCTATGACACAGGGTTGTACAAGTGGCTGTATGGCACTGGGTAGTACAAGTGTCTCTATGACACTGGGTAGTACGAGTGGCTCTATGACACTGGATAGTACGAGTGGCTCTATGATACTGGGTAGTACAAGTGGCTCTATGACACTGGATAGTACAAGTGGCTCTATGACACTGGGTAGTACAAGTGGCTCTATGACACTGGGTAGTACGAGTGGCTCTATGACGCTGGATAGTACGAGTGGCTCTATGACACTGGATAGTACAAGCTTTGGATACCCAATATACAATAAACAATTCTCACTGATTTGAAATGAAATGAAGGAATATTGTTGACATGTTTTTAAACACTGTCCAAGCCAGATGTTAGAAACTGAAGAAATGTTAAACTTCTTTTAGAGGCATTTAGAAGTTGGAGTACTAAGTAAGGATAAGATATATAGAGAACAGCTTCTTTATTACAAATACGTTGGTGTAGGTTCTAACACCGTTATCAAGCAGGTGATATACAGTGTATGGTTGACAAGTATATATACGGGTAGGAGGCAGTGTTTATACAGTAGAGTAGATATCAGATTTAGCCTGTTATGTACAGGGTAGTAAACATGTGGACCGGCGAAGTCAGTAATAAGTGTCAACCATACTGTGTACACCACTTGCTTGACAACCGTGTTAGAATCCACACCGCAGCGTCGCTCCTAATTGTAGTAAAGAAGTGGTTCAGCCATATATCTGATCCTCACTTATGAAGAAATGTTACAAGACAGTATTAAGATGTGTTCATGTGTTTATTCTTTCAGGGATGTCCTTCTGTGCCCGAGTGAAACTTCAGTATCTGACCACACTTCTTGAATAAGCAAACCACACAGTTATAACAACTAACAACGCGCTGTTGTGACATTGATTAATGTAACAGTTATAATTTGCATACTCGTATATGCATGGGGTTATGGTTCCCGGTAGGGGGTAACAACTTGGAAACGCGGGCTGGGGTATATCCAATCTTACTTAATACAAGTAGATATATACATACAGAAGACACTATGTGCCAGGTCAGCACATGGTGGTAGTGGTTGTTGTCTTGGTGCCCCGGAGCACCCAGCCTAACCCTAGCTAGGCTAAGACCTTTCTTCTCTCTGTTTCTCTCACTCTCTTTTTCTCTTCCTCTCTGGACCAAGGCTTATGTCGCCAAGGTCACCTGACATTTAGTAAGTCATAAATATAAACAACCGTATTTCATCAGTGACATACTTGCACATCTCATTCATGATGGCTGACATTCGATGTACAAGACAATGGGGATTAACAATTAGCATTAGCATCTTATAACGGCAATTAAATGTTTCAAGGCATATACATGTAGATGTCATGGCTTCAGGGTAATTTGCCTTTGGAATTTATTGTTCATTCAGACAACTGTTGTCGTAAATCAGTCGCTATGAACAGTGTTCTTGAGTAATAATGAGAAGTAAAGAAACTGCTTTGTTATGATCGACCGATGCTAAAATACTAACAGCATGTGGCATAGTCAGGGTAGGTGGTTACTTAATCACCACCTTCTTTGATTTTATCCATAGCCAGGACTCCCAGTACCAATGTTCAATCCTCAATAAGTGGGTGAGTGAGTGAGTTGGGTTTAACGCCGCTTTTAACCGTATTCCAGTTATATCACGGCGTGTCAGCTTAATGTGGGAGGAAAGCCCGAAGTCATGCAGATCACAGACGTTTACAACTTCGGTGAAACCCACGAGCACGGGTATGGTGCTGACAAACCTAGAAACATAATCGGGGCGAACCGGGATTCGAACCCACAATCATAGGTTTCTGGCGTGTCCAAGGGACGCAACTCTGCACAGCGAATTGCGGCGCCTAAGGCCCCTGGGCCATCCGTGCCCCCAATCCTCAATCAGAAAATACACGTCGGAAGTATATATCCAAATATAAGTGAGAGAGTGAGTGAATTGGGTTTAACGCCGATTTTAACACTATGCCAGTCGTATAACGGCTTTTCAGATTGATGTGGGAGAGAAGGCTGAAGTGATGCAGATCTTGGACGTATGGTGCTGACAAACCTAGAAATATAATTGGGGCGAAACTGGAATCGAACCAACGATCATAGGTTTCTGGCGTGCCAAAAAGTGGTGATACAAGGTGTTCGCGAACAGGCGAACATATCCTCCCCTACGGTGCCATCCGTCACAAACACATGCAAATGCAAGTCAAGCGTTCACCTGCAACAAACCCAGGGTAACAAGTAAAAAAGGGGAATTATATCAGACATTATCTTTCACTGATGCGAATATTTTGGAAATATCCTTCACATCCTTCGTATATTAGTTTTTTAAGCACTTGATGAAGGAGCAAGAAGTAGCGTCGTGACAAAGAATAAAAGAAGTTGCTATCTTTAAAACGTGCCATGTATTCATCCTTTCACGGATCTTCAATAAACCAAGAGTCGCATGACGCCCGCATACCCGAGGTCAGGGTGAACCTCCAATTAGAACTTGTACAGACTAATCGTACCAGGAAGTCATACGCGCTTCGAAATATACACTATGTAGAGTAGACACGTAATGAGAGGTGTATTTATGCATGTGATACACTGATGATTTACAGATAAGTATTTCACACATACCGCGCATCTACCAAGCGTAACCCATACATGGCAACTCAATCTCCTTCCTTCATCATAACAGTAGAATAGGCTGATACACTTACAGTATAGTAGCAAAGGGATGTATGTGAAGTAAGGCAACATAAAATATGAGAATCCAACTAGTCTATCAAGGTCCTGCCTGGAAAAGTAGTGGACACCCTTCTCCGAGATCGATTATAAGAAAAGATAAGATATGTTTTTAAAAACTTTTCGACTGACAATCTGATGTCCACACATTCTGTTATTACACGATTTGTAATGCAGTTTTATCTTATAATGGGTAGTGTTCTGGATACGATTAACCTGCACATGACGCGTCCAAACAGGAGCCGCAAATGCAAATACGAGTATGTCTTATCAGCAATTGTTTCAAGTATGACATTATATAATACAAAGAATAATATTATCTTCGTGTGTTTTCGTATCGTACATATCATGTGAGGAACAAAAAGTATGTATTATGCTCGCACAATACCAGTTTTATTCCAAATTACAAGAAAACCACAATCGAATAATAATTTCTATGTATGTTTTATTTTCATCTGGTGTCTTAGTCAATACTATCAAATATGGCACATGCTTTCTAATATGATATAGATATGCTGTTGGGTTAACTAAGCTATTCTTCTCTGCAGATACGTACTTCTTCTCTGTCTGAGAAGTTAACTTTGATACAGATTTGTTGATTTCAATTCTTCACATTCATTCATACGACAGAGGGGTGGTCGGATAGCCTAGTGGTTAAAGCGTTCTCTCGTCACGCCGAAGACCCGGGTTCGATTCCCGACATGGGTACAATATGTGAAGCCCATTTCTGGTGTCCCCCGCCGTGATATTGCTAGAATATTGCTAAAAGCGGCGTAAAACCATACTCACTCACTCACTCACTCATACGGCAGATGCATATGAATGCAAATCTTATCACCAGACAAGACATGTGGTGATAGTATCGCCACAACGTGCAGTGAAGTCACCCTTGTCATGGTGCAAACCAAGAAGGAAGTAAAATAGAACCGGCGACGCAGTACAGGAAGGCATATAGTTGTGTCCATATGTCAGTGTGGATTGTCTCTATCAGAATGTACTCGTGTTGGGATGGCAATGTTTGAACTACTGTAGTGTATTGTATTGGAAGAGAAACAAACATTACCAAACATGCTTTGAGCTCACATGTCTGAATTCAACAACTGCGGACTTCTTCATCCCATGATTCATCTCTACCTCTGGATTCACGTAAGTGTGACTGCAATATTTTTATATATGATATCTATACAAGACGCTTTATGGCGTTGTAAGCACTGTTTGTACAGAATCATGTGTTCATACTTAGAAAGAGCTTCTTCTTTTTGTTTAACGCCGTAATCATCAATAATCAAAACCAGTGATATTATAAGTAACAGTCCATACGACCACCACCCCAACCCTCAATAAACCCACCACCACCACACACACCCATTAATACGCCTCATAGGGCAAACACAGGTTGCTGTTCTAACCCGGAATATGCCCTGGGAAACTCAGAAGAAAGCATGAAATAACAAACACGGTATGGACTACATAGCGCCGGGAAAATATTTATAGTTCATGGTAATGACATAATTCTTTTCACATTGTAATATAATGTTACAGTAACAGAAATCAAGATCATTGTCACTTTTCAGTTGTTTGTTTAAAGTCCATATTCTGCATCAGGTGATTCCTCTCATTCGAAGGTATAACCTCTCAGTCTAATGATTATAAAGGCGGTTATGGAAAATTTAAGGCCTTAGTGAGAATGAGCGACATGTCCATATTTGATATCAAATATTTGAACCATATTAACGTAGTTCGTCATTTGTGCTGATTAAATAATGCTGCAGTTTAAGGTGATCAGGAAACAATGTTTCAAGGGATACATTATTTTATTCAGTCAAAAGCTTTATCTGTTTTTATCTTCGCAAACATATCTCGTAGTCAAAATAAACAGAAACTTGCTCGTTATAACTAGGTCAGTGAATAACTGCAATTTGTTTTCAAATAATCATTTAAATACTGTATTTTAAAGTCGTTTATTATGTTTTTTCGTGGTTATTATTGTTCATGGAAACTGTTAGTTTGCCTGCTGGTGAATATTCACGTTACTAAAAGATTCTATAATCACCAGTGCATTCATTATTTGACTGTATATGTGAGCCTGTGAGAACAAACTACTTCCTTCTTTGCTTGGGCTATTTATGACTCGTTGTCTGGCAGAGATAGAACAGGTATGTGTAAAAAACTATGAAATTGACTCATCTGTCATCTAGTGGCTTTGAGTGTCCTCCAACTGTGGGTGGGTGTAGATTTATGCTGTGTTTAGCACAACTCCACAACACCACTGCGGCAAACCATCCCGTGCATGCATATGGAAACGCGGGTAGTTAGCATGAGTGAACGCTTTAACACAAGGCGGCTACGCTAGCGTAATGTACTGCGATTACAATAGGTATTGCAATTACTTATTTGACAATTACATATCAAGTATAGTTGCCTACGTCTGAATACTAAATTACAAAACAAACATGGGAAGGGGGGGGGGGGGGGGGGGACGCTGTAGACTTCAGTTGATGTGTATGCAACTATACACAGGTTCACGCGTTTTCATTTGTTTGTTTGTTGTTTAACGCCGCACTCAGCAATATTTCAGCTATATGACGTCTGTAAATAATCGAGTCTGGACCAGACAATCCAGTGATTCACATCATGTGCATCGATCCACGCAATTGGGATCGATGACATGCATCAACCAAGTCAGCGAGCCTGACCTTCCGATCCCGTTGGTCGCCTATTACGACAAGCATAGTCGCCTTTTACGACAAGCATGGGTTGCTGTAGACCTGTTCTACCCCGGACCTTCACGTGTCACACGCGTTTTCAATTTATGAAGTTTCCACAGGCACGGAATTAATATCCGCAATAGTAATCTCGCTTCAGGGAAGTTCGTATTTCCATTCATTTCTCTCCAGAAACGAATCTCCCTTGAACGTACAGCATAAAGTATTCAACCATTTGAATTATGTCTTTTCATTTATTGATGCAGGTTGATCTACCAACACCTTATTTGGAATGGATACATTAAGTTGACGTCATTATGGCACTGGGTGAACAGATATTGATGGACAAGGATGCATCGCACCACAAACAGCTGTTGCCAAGAAAGATTCCTTTCACCATGAATCTTTGCACATGTTTCTACGGCGTTATGTTGTGGGGGAAATGACAACCGCCATGTGTTGGGACATATTTGAATAAGGAAGACTTGTAGCGAAAATGGAACCTAAGGATATTCTTCGAAGACACCATGTTTTCTTGAAGGATCACCTTGATGTGACAGGTGTCCTGGATCGCCTTTACCAAGAAGGAGTATTCACGGACTCTGAAGTAGAAGAGTGTCGTGCTGGGGACGTCAAGTCTAAACAGTGTAACATCCTCTTGGATACCCTACGGAGAAAGGATGCTCATGGTTACAGAACCTTTTGTGCGATCTTAGACGATATCCAGCCGAATATAAAGACACGTTTGGACGAGGACGGTAAGGATATACGTATAGGATTAGTTGGTTGGCTGGTTGGCTGGTTGGTTGGTTGTTTTACGCCGCACTTAGCAGAATTCCAACTATATAACGGCGGTCTGTAAATTACCGAGTCTGGACCAGGCAATCCTTCTTGGCATCATGAGCATCTATCCACGCATTTGGGATCGATGACATGCATCAACCAAGTCAGAGAGCCTGACCTCCAGATCCCGTTAGTCGCCTTTTACGGCAAGCATTGTGTTATGAAGACCTATTCTACCCCGGATACGTGTAGGAATGATACCAATTGGGATAACTCTTGAAATGAAACTCCACACCATTTATAACAAAGCTGCAGTATACTAAGTACCAGCTACCACTCATAAATAGTTTCATGAGAGTCAATAGTGACAAAACATCAATTTATGGTTTGGAGGAATATGCTTGCCAGTTAATTCGTCCGTTTGACATTTTCTCTGGAATAAATGTCCTTTTCTTGTTAATGAAAAATATTGTTTCACGCTTAGCCATATCAATTCCAAAGACTGAACTGATTTTTTTCGTAAGCTGCCATAATGTTCCTTTAATATTTTGACTACCTTGTAAGTAAAAGCGATAACCCCACAGCTTTATCATGACAGTAAGTGAGTAAATTTGATTTTACGCCGCTTTTAGCAATATGCCAGCAATATCACAGCGGGGGACACCAGAAATGGGCTTCACACATTGTACCCATGTCGGGAATCGAACCCGGGTGTTGGACGTGACGTGACGAGCGAACGCTGTAGCCACAAGGCTACCCGACCGCCCTAATAATCATGAGAACTCGCTGCTAAAAGCAGAATCAATTGTACGATTCCAGCTATATCATAAACAAGCAAAATATGTAAACGCAAATCAAGTGTTCACCTGGACAAAAACGGGAAGATATGGTACACGTCAAAGTAGAAATTTGCATCGGACATCATCTTGGTCACTGAAGCGTCAAATTTGGAAATGTCCTCCGCATGTTTTGAAAACGTTTTGAATGCTTTAACCCTGACCAAACAATTTTGGGGTAAGAGTTGTAAGACACTGTTTGGAATTCTCTCGCAGAATAAGTATACTTGATTGTACCTAAGAATTTTGAATGTACGACTGGAGTTGCTGGAATGTTGCTCAACATAAAAAGGGAAAGTTGACTGTTGTAATGTTCAAATCATTCCTCTTGTCATACAGTCCTGTGGATGTCACTCTTTATTTCTGTGCATTGAACTAAATAGGAAACATCGGTTTCACTTATCTTTTGTATGTCTAGTTCGGGTGGGTCAGTGGAAATGAGTTGACTGTTTCGCCATTATTGTCCGATATCAGATCGTCGATAAACCTGATATAAATTCTAATCCAAATTCCTGGTTTTGGAATTTGCTAATCCCACCAAAAATGTCGACCACTATGCATCAGGAAACAGACAGGGAGGTGAGCTTAAATGTCATATCTCCAGATAATAATTCCATAGTTTACAAATTGCCCTGAATTTTGCAGAACATTTCTCTATCGTCACCGCGTTTTGTTCCGTCAAAAACAAGTTTATCGCGCGGGAGAGGATAGAACAAGACACACACACACACACACACACACACACACACACACACACACACACACACACAAGCAAATCGTTTGAGTACGGTATAGATTTCACTTGTCTCAAATGTTTTCTGTCTGCTTAAATATTCAGAACGCGTGGACCAACGTAATATAACCCGAGTTTAGACAGTGTTCCTTAACCTGCAGCGATATATATAAAATGTAATACTATATGGCATGGTTTAGAAAAGCTTAACTTTCGCCTTTTGTTGCTTTTAATAAAATTAAACGTCATAAACATCAACAAAAATATATTTAAATTCCAATATTTTGTTGGAGCAAAATGTCCTAGAACTGAGGAAGTGCGGATTTACGAAGATTTATTAAGTTTTTACCTCCATAAACGCAAATAATATTGATGTCATCTTTTTAATTTTTCACCATCAGTTAATGGCAGTAAATGTTCTGCGATTGTAACTACATGTACAAAGAAGGAAATTGAGTAAAATATCTAGCAATTCATATTCAAGTCATTTTAACCGTACATGTGTGCCTGCTTATAATATGTACCGTGTGCATAAAAATCAAGGCTTGCAGGAAATAGACACCCAGACACTCTCCCATGTGACTGTGCCCCGAATAACTGTACTGCCCAACGAGCAAATTCGCAAATTGACTATTATGTAGTGTGTATGCGGATATGAAAGGACGGGATACAAGGAAGAAGATGTGGGAAAGGCCTGATCATGATCAGGAAACATAGATAAGTGTGTATACAAAGATAGCGTCATGGATATATTTAATATTATCCACTAGGATATAATGATCAAGTATAATACATTTCCAATATTTGCACATGCATTTAATCGATTCTCATTGCTGCAGGACGTCATGCATTGATAATGACGTCACAATTTGATTACGTGACGTTACGTGAACAATAGACAGGGTTGACATGTCATACGTTTTTTCTTCATTCTCGTAAATGAATGCTCGTAGCTCTTATATTCTCATATTGTTCACATTCAGTGTAGTGATAGAAATATGTTGACCACATCCCTCTTGAATACTGTACATATTACGACAATGAGCAACCCAATACTATTTAGCTCACCTGAATGTGTAGTAATATGATAACAGATCAGAAGATTATTATAAGGGTAAACACGAATAATCATGAACAAAAGTTGCTCTTAAAAGGCAAGCTGGTGTACATCAGGAGTTCATGTGTAGTCACCCAATACAATACTTCCTACCCCCCCCCCCACCCCCCACCCCCCCCCCACCCCGCCCCCCCCCCACCCCCACCCCCACCCCCACCCAAACAAACGAACGCTTTAACCACTAGGCTACCCGACCGCCCCCATGTTATAAGAGGATACAGGTTGATATGCTTGCATGATACGTAAACGGTACAGGAATTCATATTGACTCCAACCATTGGGACTAGGTATGTTTAAAAATAGGGCAATACATTAATAGTTATCATAACGCAACTACTAAAATTGGCAAACAATTGTAACACATTGTATGTGAAGTGTCCCTTATCCCCGATAATGCAGCATATAATATCTGTTATGATAAATAACGGACCCACAGCTTTTACATTTGGGAAGTGAGGTAAACGTGAAGTAGCTGATGGCATAGTGGCAAAGTAATAATCTTAAAGATTGTGTGAATGTTGCTGTTGACAAAATAAATGTTGTGAAAAGGTCAAGGAAAGGTCAACAAGACGTAATGCGGGTTAGCGGGTTAGCGGGTTAGCGGGTAACGGTTAATGTCATTAATCTGGAAGTAGTAATAGATAATAAGGCCTGTTTGTGACCTACTAATGCCAGGTCAGGGTAAAAAAGGCAAAACATGCCCGAAGCTACATCACAGGTTATACCACACACTGCCTATCAAATGTCATAATGGTACGTGTGAAATGACTGAGAGTGAATGAATGATGGGTGAGTTAGGTTTGACACAACTTTGAACAGTATTTCAGTCACATCATGGCTGTCAGCTTGACGTGGGAGTAACGCCGGACGTGGTGCAGGTCTTATAGGCTGGACACTTAATTGACAACCATGAGCCCGGGCCTAACAAACATTATCGGGGGCAGGGGTGGCCCAGTCGTCTAAGGCGCCGCGATTCGCTGTGCAGGGTTGCGTCCCTTGGGAACGCCAGAAACCTATGATTGTGGGTTCGAATCCTGGTTCGACCCGATTATGTGTCTAGGTTTGTCAGCACCATACCCGTGCTCGTGGGTTTCACCGAAGTGGTAAACGTCTGAGACCTGCATCACTTCGGGCTTTCCTCCCACATCAAGCTGACACGCCGCGATATAACTGGAATACTGTTAAAAGCGGCGTTAAACCCAACTCACTCACTCACCACGGGTGTTTATAAATGGACAACTCACTGGCAGGGATCCACACACGCTTGGGAAAATAGCTATACTTTATATAAAGTTTAATAAAAATGAACTATTTCTGAAATTAAATGATGCATCTTTCAATACAAATTAATAAAGACATCTTCTCGACTTTAAGGTCGTGATTCGCATTTTCCACGTGCATGTTCATTCACGGCGCACGATTTAGATATTTGCTTGTTCGTGTGAGCATGATACTCACACGCTTGGTTGTTTAGTGTGAACAGCACACAATGATTACTTAGCCACCAGGTGCTCATAAAACTATTTTGTTTAACCGTAAATAATGCTTACGCAAGACCACCGCTTGCTGAAAATCAACGTCTACCCGCAAAACCGAACTTGCCAGACATTTTAATGTTCATCGAAACACAATATCATCTCCCTGGAGACGTTGTCTACAGGTAGGTTGGTATGCTTGCACTGGTCCGAACAAATGCCGGTTTTATAGTGCTATCCCATTGAGATACCATGCCGCATGGGTATATCAATCACTCGCTTATTTACAGGCCACCGTTTTATAGCTGGAAAGATGTTGACAGCAGCTTTAAACAACAAACAAAGGAAACAGTTCAGGCAGAGATGTACGAGTAATGGGTAAAATGACACGTTTAAACACAGGCAACATGGCTTTCAAAGTGATAGCTCACATGATGTGTGCGTTTCAAAGGGAATATCGGAATTTTAACAGTTTACAACGAAGGGTCGGACAACTTGCATTGTCATAATCGGGGAACAAACCGCATTTGAACAAATATGTCTGGATAAGTGCGGTATTTATAAATGTATAAAATAATAATAATAATAATAATTGAGCTGACGATATTTGCAGTTTTAATCTGTTGCCTACCATCTTTAGCCCAGTTGAATGAGTAGGTCGGAAATTACTTCCCCTGTCGCTACCGCTAAACAAAGATCTGAGGACATCCCATTAGGGGTCACGTCAGAGCGGCATTTCATCCGACCAATCAGAGCGTCGCTTACCAGATCGTGAAAGTGACAGTCGGAATGTGATTTCTAATCATGCAACCTCGAAAACTTTAACACAGGGTATTCAGAACGATAGTTACGGGCTTAACGACTCAATCAATACAATCTAGACCATCTATTAGCCATTCCAGAATGTTCTTTTCTTCAGGTTTCAATTTTTTAATCGAGAATTTGTCAAAATATGTTTCGAAGCGTTGTCGCCAGTTTGAAATTAGTGCCGTAAAGCACGAGAAAGCTGCCTTCTGATTGGCTAATGTCGACTTCTTGTCAGTCATTTCATTGGTCGGTCAAAGTTCGCGCAAGGGCGGTCTGACGTGATGGGATGTCCTCAGATCTTTGTTCAGCGGCGGCGAGAACTAAGATCTGATTTTAAAGAGATTGAAGAAGATAATAATATTATTGTAGAGGTCAGAATTGGTTATTTCTAAGGTAATGCACTTGAGGTAAACACCACCCGGATGTTATACTATCAACGTCTGGTAAAGCCTCTCCAAACAGCAGCATACTTTTCGTCTTTTGTCTTGTTGTTAATTCAGTAATTACCAGTTAATTCAGTAATTTTGATTGACATAGTTCTTTCCGGAAAGTGTAGGACGCTTGGAACCCCAATTCTGCCGAAACTTTTAAACGGAGATAAATTGTGTCACTGGGCGATATTCTTTACAAGGGGCGGTCGGGTAGCCTAGTGGTTAAAGCGTTCGCTCGTCACGCCGAAGACCCGGGTTCGATTCCCGACATGGGTACAATGTGTGAAGCCCATTTCTGGTGTCCCCCGCCGTGATATTGCTGGAATATTGCTAAAAGCGGCGTAAAACCATACTTACTCACTCACTCACTATTCTTTACAAGGTCAGCACTAACGTGTTGTGTATTCCTGTTTCAGATGGAGCAGGGACAGCGTTGTATGTCAATAAGAACAAGATTGAACGCAAGTACAAAGCATTAATAGACAGAAAAGATACACGCATTGCTCAACTGGAAAAGGTGAGAGTACATGAATATCTGACATATTATGAACATATCCTTCTAAAAATATAAGCTGTGTCAATATCCATAGGAAAGTGAAGGGGTACCTGCAGGCTCATGAAGTGTGACGGGGGCAGCTTTAGCCAACGTTCATGTTTCCTGTTCACAAATTAATATGATATATACAGAAAGATACTATTGTCATTACTATTGAGTAAGCAATATATTCCACTCGAAGATTTCATGTATGTAAACTATTAATTACTATGTCATTCACATGTCTTGAGACCTGCATAACTTCGGGCTTTCCTCCCACATTAAGCTGACACGCCGCGATATAACTGGAATATTGTTAAAAGTGGCGTTAAACCAAACTCACTCACTCACTCACTCACATGTCATGAAATGAACCCAGACATTCCAGGGAGGGTTAATGCAGTAAAGCTATTCGATCGAATAGATTAATCACACCTCATGTACTCTAGAATGAGGGGGCGGTCGGGGAGCCTAGTGGTTAAAGCGTTCGCTTGTCACGCCGAAGACCCGGGTTCGATTCCCAACATGGGTACAATGTGTGGAGCCAATTTCTGATGTCCACCGCCGTGAAATTGCCTGAATATTACTAAAAGCGGCGTAAAACCATACTCACTCACTCACTCTAGAATGAGCTCAATATATATGGACTCTGTATAAAGAATAGGTCTTCAGTAACCCATGCTTGCCGAAAAAAAGCGACTATGCTTGTCGTAAGAAGCGACTAACGGGATCGGTTGGTCAGACTCGCTGATTTAGCTGCGTGGATCGACGCTCATGATGTCAATCACTGGATTGTCTGGTCCAGACTCGATTGTTTACAGACAACAACAACAAAACCCCCTCCATACATATGAATTATTGATTACATATTAAACAGTTATATTATTGTAGGAATTAGAAGAACGAAGTTCTGATATCACGCACATGTGTGCTGAACACAAGAAGGAGATGGACGCCAGTACGTCACGCATGAAGCTCTCGACGGACGTGGCTATGAAGGAAAAGGAACAGACCATTGCTTATCTGCAACAACGGATTCAGAGTGCGGAAAGTGGGAAGCTGAAAGGTGAGAAACCAATTAATGTAACGAAACTTTGGACCAGAGACTTATTTAGTTCTAACAACAATTCAAAGATGGCAAAAACACCCCGTACATTGATATGTCAAACACTTGATCCTTGCGTTGACTGATTAAGTTGTCATTCTGGTTTCGACCGCCTCCGTGGTCTAGTGGTAGAGCGTCCGCCCGGAGAGAAGATCCGGGGTTCGATCCCCGGCCGCGTCGTACCAAAAGACGTTAAAAGATGGTACTTGTTGTTACCCTGTCTGGCGCTCGGCTTTAAGGGGCTAAAACAAGGACTGGTCGGCTCGGAGTCAGTATACTGTGTCTGAGTGGGGTATTCATGTTAAACTATGGAATGGTATCTCAGTGAGCTAGCACTATAAATCGGCATCAGTCCGGCCTAGTACAAGCAGCCACACACATACATACACGTGCATGCACGTCGTTATATAAGTGCAATAATCTTGGACGCGACGTTAAACCCCGTTTCACCTCACCTCATTCTGGTTTCATGAGTTGGTGTAAGGGAGACAACTATGTACACATTCAACAGTAGTGGCTTCATAACTTGGGTTAGTCATTCACTGAAGTCAAACAAATGTTTCAGCTGAGAAAGCATTAGAAGAAAGTGTAGCTCTCAAGGAGGAACTGCAATCCCAGATACAGCTCTTGGAGAAGGTATGACTTAATTTGTGACACATTGTTAACATTCCTCTGGAGTTGGAGGTACAACTGTAAATCTTGAAATTAATGCGTCTCCAAATTAATGCTTCTGACCCCTAGCCAAAAGTTCCCCAGTGGAATGATATATATGATATAATCAGTATATGATTGGGGCTGATCTATCACTCAAAAGCACAGGGAACGACGAAATCATGAAATATATTGCGCTACACAATTTTCAGCAACAAACTACAATATCCTTATATTTTGACATTGTAAAAGAAAACAATGGCTGATAAATCTATTTGAACATAATATCCAGTGTCAATAGTAGTTCAATATATTGATCATATTGAAAATAGGATTGTGATATTTTCAACCCAGACAGTCAAATAATTTTCGTTTACATCTAGATCTGATATCGTATTTTAAACAGATAATCACAATATTGTATGATATACCAATATATTGATAGAAAACCACACAATATCCATTGTTTGCAGTTGAACTGTACTGTTGAATCATTTTAGCCTGGTATGTATGACATAAGTAAATCTGTCCATTCTGTTGACGATACATTCATTCGTTGTTATGATAATGAAAGCTTAAGTTACTATTTCTACGTTACCACGGATAAAATTATTACATGTACTAGCAGCTGTTTTCAGTAAGCAAATACACGTCTATATTGAAGACATCTCAGCTGCTCTTATACAAACTTACAATTTCAGGAATTTGCTGATTGTAAAGAGAAGTATGATGCTATCACACAGTCCACAATACCAGAACGATGTGTCAACGCAGAAGAACATGCAAGTATGTTTGATGTTAGAATCATTGACGACGTGACAATGAGAATGGAATAGTGTTACTGAGATGAAAACAAGTCCTTTACGATGACTTCAGAATAGAAATGGCCAGATAGTATTGAAGATTCCGCATGGTATACATGGCTGCATGTGCTGACAGTATGAGGAAATATTCACTCCTTTTTCATTCACGGGGGCTAATAATCCTTGTACTTATGCACAGTGAATGCTGCGCTATACAAATGCATAAATTATTATTATTGTTGTTATTATTATTATTATTATTACATTAGGACCATGTATTCCCAATCTATGTTGGCTCTTACAAACAAGCCCCCATATTTGAGTATTTATTGAAGCGAAAGATGAGACATACTTATTGCATCCTATACCCGAGTTTATGTAACAAACATTGAACGTTGGTTATTTTACCATTTCAGATCCCACTGAATGGAACATAGATACATGCACGATGTGTCGACAACATTGTGAGGAGAATCAGGTCATGTACAGACTTCCATGTATTCATCTGATGTGCCAGACCTGCTTGGAACATCTCAACGAAACCCACGGAACCTGTTCTGAATGTTCAATAGCATTCGCTCGTACTGACATCAAGCTAGATACTTCAAGAAGAAACAAAGCAAGATGGGAGGACAGAGAAACAAGAAGAACCTGCACACATAACGATCACCATTATGAAGCAGAAGCTGTATGTTATTGTCCTCGATGTGAAGACTACCTATGTGCAGAATGCAACAACAATCACGGTCAAATTAGGTGTTTTGCTGGGCACGCAACGTACTCAATGGAGGAAATTCAAACCATTCCTTATCAACACTTCATGAAAAAGCAGATGTGTCATCATCATGAAGGGCATGATCTTGTCCTTTATGACCAAGATTGTAAGATCGCCCTATGTCTAGTCTGCATTCAAGATGATCACCAGAACCACAATACAGTTCATCTTGAAAAGGTGTATGAGCAAGAGAAGAAGGCATTGGAGGTTCTCCTGGGGGATCTTGAAATACGATCAGAAGAAATAAAGAGAAACGTTATGGACATGGAAGACCACGGGCTGGCTTTAGACAAGACTGAGGAATCTCTGTTCAACCAGATATCTGTAACAAGAGAACGTATGTCGCAGCTGCTGCTCCAAAGAGACAGACAAGTCCAGAGTGAAGTCATCCAAAGCTTGGTAGCACCAAGGATGGCACTGAAGGAAAATCTGGCCCGTTTGCTCAAGACATTCAGTTCTGTAAAGACTGCTATCAGATTTGGCAAGCAAATTCTTCAGTACTGTTCCAAATCTGAGTTTCTTGAGTTGAAACCGATCTTACATGATAAGTCCATGATCGATTTGAATATAACTTTGCCTAGTGCAGACAGACGAGGTGGTGAAGTACGGTTATTGTTCCATGGACAGAACAACCTGGAGAGAATGATACAGTCTTTCTTTAGCTTATACAGTCCTATGATAATGGATGCGGAACCACCCTCAGATGCCACCCCAACAATGGAAGGTGTGTCATGTAGTTCTTCCCTTTGTCACACGTTCCTGCTTTGAGAGCTTTTCCTGTTTTGTGTGACCAAAACTAACGCCGCTTCAAGGCAGCATAAAAATTGTCTTTGGTGTTTTGCTATACAACAATAGGTGGCACGAACAAGACATATTTTATACGGATATCCCGAGAATGGAGAATGTTATTCTATACGTAAAACTATAATGTTGATACCAAAGGGCTTATGTCATACCTTGAATAGCAGTTTCAATTATGCAATATCGTGTTCTAATGATCTTATAGTTTTGTTTTTCAATGTAAATGATATCTTGCAAGATACAAATCTGGACAAATGGAATGTCCAATGACAATCCATACCAGTACATTCAACCTAGGTGATGCTCGTCTCCAGATTCTCAACGTACATCCTGTTAAACATTCAGACAATACCACACAAGTCATAGACAAGCTAAGAGGGGTGGGGGATGGGTCCTTGACTAACTACGAACATGGGGTTCATATCTTCCAAACATGACCCGCCGTGATATTGCTGGAATATTGCTAAACGCGGCGTAAAAGTATATTCTCTCACTCCACATTGACTACAATGATTTAAGGTTGTTGTGTCCCACATATACGAACGTAAGCAGTGGGTCTCAATTGTATCTTTTCAGACTACCTGAGAAGAATTAACTTACTGGAGGAAAGAGTAGAAGAAAACGAAAGAGTAAGTCGATGTTCATTTACGAGCACTTGAAGCAATCATTAGTGGAAGTCAGTGAGTATGGTATCACGGTAGGGGACACCAAAAATGGGCTTCACACATTGTACCCATGTCGGGAATCTTCAGCGTGTCTAATCTTCAGCGAACGCTTTGACCACAAGGCTAACCATCAGTAGAAGGACTACTTGTACTTACACGTTAAATGCATGGGGTATATATTTTTTTCTACGAAGTTGGTTACAGTCTGTCTGCCGAAACATTGAATATATTATCTGTTGCAATGTTCATGTTTTAGGCAATAACATTCCAGACAGAGATGCTGTCACAACAGGACAGGGAAATTCGGCTTCTCGAGCGACGTAAGTTGTTTAAGGTCAATGACCATCGAGGTGAATATGGATGCGCAAACAATACTGGTTACTGGGATACTCGTCATAAACGGGGGCAGGGGTGGCCCAGTCGTCTTAGGCGCCGCGATTCGCTGTGCAGAGTTGCGTCCTTTGGGAACGCCAGAAACCTATGATTGTGGGTTCGAATCCCGGTTCGCCCCGATTATGTTTCTAGGAAAGTCAGCACCCTGCCATTTCACGTGGGTTTCACCGAAGAGGTAAACGTCCGAGACCTGCATCACTTCGGGCTTTGCTCCCACATTAAGCTGACACGCCGCGATATAACTGGAATACTGTTAAAGCGGCGTTTACCCAACTCACTCACTCACTTGTCAAAACCGCTTTTAGGTATGGCTTGGCGATTGCTGAAAGTGATGCCGTGTCCCTGACCTGTAATATTCGAACACTATTCTTTGTTTTCTAGAGCTTGAGCAAAAGACGACAGAGTTGCAGTCTACCGAGAATATTTCAGCTTTGAAAGACAAGGTAATACGTATTCCTTTACGAACCAGAAATGCTATGTAATTAAAAATATCTACTAGTCTTTTGTATTATTCAATAGTGGCGCTGTAATGTAAATTATCCTAAATGTCCTTAATTAATGGAAACACTCTAGATGTTACGGATATGGGTGGCTTGGCATTTTGTGTGAGACAGAATATTTACAGTAAGCGCCTCAAAACATCTTTTCTCTGAAAAGAGCCACGGATATGGGTGGCTTGGCATTTTGTGTGAGACAGAATATTTACAGTAAGCGCCTCAAAACATCTTTCTATAGTGGGGGGTACCTTAATGCCTACCTTGACATGCATATTTTGTGTCTTTTCATACAACAGAAATTGAAGGATTTGCCGTACCTAGAGCAACGATGCGGGGATCTTGAGGACAGTATGTTGGTTGGGTGGTTGGTTTGTTGTTTTACGCCGCACTCAGCAATATTCCAGCTATATGACGGCGGTCTGTGAAAAATCGAGTCTGGACCAGACAATCCGGTGATTGATATCACGAGCATCGATCCATGCAATTGGGATCGATGACATGCTTCAACCAAGTCAGCGAGCCTGATCACCCGATCCCGTTTGTCGCCTCTTACGACAGGCATAGTTGCCTTTTACGGCAAGAATGGGTTGCTGAAGACCTATTCTATCCCGGATTTTCACGGGTCGAGGACAGCATGTATGCATTACTCCATGTACCGTATTCATTTTGAACACTGCTATTATTTGTTCCTGTAGCATAAGCTACCTCTATGATCAGATTCACCTTTAGTGATCAAAACTGAACAAGAGGAATCATGTATTTAATATGACAAACATATAACATATTACACCCATAATTTAATATACCTATATATATCTCACAGAGCTTAGCGGAGAAAGGAGCCGACACAAAGAGGTAAGACTTAAGTAATTCATACATTCATCTTTGAAATAGCACATTTCTTCATCTTCAAACCAATATTCATGTCTTAGCTGCAGTGAATGGCTAGACATTATTCTTTCTGTTGCAGAAAATGACACCTCTGAATGAAAGCATCGACCTTTTTCGAAAAAGATGTGAACAGCTTGAGCAAGGTTTGCAGTCATTTTGTTCGTTACTTCAGGACACATGTAGAGTTGAGTCAGGACACATGAAGAGTTGAGTCAGGACACATGTAGAGTTGAGTCAGGACACATGTAGAGTTGAGTTCAGGGGACACATGTAGAGTTGAGTTCAGGGGACACATGTAGAGTTGAGTCAGGACACATGTAGAAATGAGTCAGGACACATGTAGAGTTGAGTTCAGGGGACACATGTAGAGTTGAGTCAGGACACATGTAGAGTTGAGTCAGGACACATGTAGAGTTGAGTCAGGACACATGTAGAGTTGAGTCAGGACACATGAAGAGTTGAGTCAGGACACATGTAGAGTTGAGTCAGGACACATGTAGAGTTGAGTTCAAGGGACACATGTAGAGTTAAGTCAGGACACATGTAGAGTTGAGTCAGGACACATGTAGAGTTGAGTCAGGACACATGTAGAGTTGAGTCAGGACACATGTAGAGTTGAGTCAGGACACATGAAGAGTTGAGTCAGGACACATGTAGAGTTGAGTCAGGACACATGAAGAGTTGAGTCAGGACACATGTAGAGTTGAGTCAGGACACATGTAGAGTTGAGTTCAGGGGACACATGTAGAGTTGAGTCAGGACACATGTAGAGTTGAGTCAGGACACATGTAGAGTTGAGTTCAGGGGACACATGTAGAGTTGAGTCAGGACACATGTAGAGTTGAGTCAGGACACATGTAGAGTTGAGTCAGGACACATGAAGAGTTGAGTCAGGACACATGTAGAGTTGAGTCAGGACACATGTAGAGTTGAGTTCAAGGGACACATGTAGAGTTAAGTCAGGACACATGTAGAGTTGAGTCAGGACACATGTTGAGTTGAGTCAGGACACATGTAGAGTTGAGTCAGGACACATGTAGAGTTGAGTCAGGACACATGTAGAGTTGAGTCAGGACACATGTAGAGTTGAGTCAGGACACATGAAGAGTTGAGTCAGGACACATGTAGAGTTGAGTCAGGACACATGTAGAGTTGAGTTCAGGGGACACATGTAGAGTTGAGTCAGGACACATGTAGAGTTGAGTCAGGACACATGTAGAGTTGAGTTCAGGGGACACATGCAGAGTTGAGTCAGGACACATGTAGAGTTGAGTCAGGACACATGTAGAGTTGAGTCAGGACACATGTAGAGTTGAGTTCAGGGGACACATGTAGAGTTGAGTTCAGGGGACACATGTAGAGTTGAGTCAGGACACATGTAGAAATGAGTCAGGACACATGTTGAGTTGAGTCAGGACACATGTAGAGTTGAGTCAGGACACATGTAGAGTTGAGTCAGGACACATGTAGAGTTGAGTCAGGACACATGTAGAGTTGAGTTCAGGGGACACATGTAGAGTTGAGTCAGGACACATGTAGAGTTGAGTCAGGACACATGTAGAGTTGAGTTCAGGGGACACATGTAGAGTTGAGTCAGGACACATGTAGAGTTGAGTCAGGACACATGTAGAGTTGAGTCAGGACACATGTAGAGTTGAGTTCAAGGGACACATGTAGAGTTGAGTCAGGACACATGTAGAGTTGAGTCAGGACACATGTAGAGTTGAGTCAGGACACATGTAGAGTTGAGTTCAGGGGACACATGTAGAGTTGAGTTAAGGACACATGTAGAATTGAGTCAGGACACATGTAGAGTTGAGTCAGGACACATGTAGAGTTGAGTGAGACACATGTAGAGTTGAGTCAGGACACATGTAGAGTTGAGTCAGGACACATGTAGAGTTGAGTCAGGACACATGTAGAGTTGAGTCAGGACACATGTAGAGTTGAGTTCAGGGGACACATGTAGAGTTGAGTCAGGACACATGTAGAGTTGAGTCAGGACACATGTAGAGTTGAGTCAGGACACATGAAGAGTTGAGTCAGGACACATGTAGAGTTGAGTCAGGACACATGTAGAGTTGAGTTCAGGGGACACATGTAGAGTTGAGTCAGGACACATGTAGAGTTGAGTCAGGACACATGTAGAGTTGAGTTAGGACACATGTGGGTTGAGGTCAGGGGACACATGTAGAGTTGAGTCAGGACACATGTAGAGTTGAGTCAGGACACATGTAGAGTTGAGTTCAAGGGACACATGTAGAGTTGAGTCAGGACACATGTAGAGTTGAGTCAGGACACATGTAGAGTTGAGTCAGGACACATGTAGAGTTGAGTCAGGACACATGTAGAGTTGAGTCAGGACACATGTAGAAATGAGTCAGGACACATGTAGAGTTGAGTTCAGGGGACACATGTAGAGTTGAGTCAGGACACATGTAGAAATGAGTCAGGACACATGTAGAGTTGAGTTCAGGGGACACATGTAGAGTTGAGTCAGGACACATGTAGAGTTGAGTTCAGGGGACACATGTAGAGTTGAGTTCAGGGGACACATGTAGAGTTGAGTCAGGACACATGTAGAGTTGAGTCAGGACACATGTAGAGTTGAGTTCAGGGGACACATGTAGAGTTGAGTCAGGACACATGTAGAGTTGAGTCAGGACACATGTAGAGTTGAGTCAGGACACATGTAGAGTTGAGTCAGGACACATGTAGAGTTGAGTTCAGGGGACACATGTAGAGTTGAGTCAGGACACATGTAGAGTTGAGTTCAGGGGACACATGTAGAGTTCAGGATAGATTCCCACCAACCTATGCTTGTCGTACGAGCCGACTGAATGGAGAGGGTGGTCAGGCAAGGTGACTTGATTGATTGGGTGTCATCGTACCTCGGCGGCGTGGGACGTTGATCATGGTGTCAGTCACTGTTTTGTTTACACCAAGTCCACATGTTCAAGCATACGTAATTCGACAGTCTTTATATTGGTTATTTAAACCTAGTTCATACATCCCTTATGAGACCTGCATCAATTCGGGCTTTCCTCCCCCCATTAGGCTGACACACCGTGTTATAACTGAAATAATGTTAAAAGCGGCGTTAAACCCAACTCACTCACTCACTCACTCACTCACTCATACATCCCTGATGCAACAAACACGTTAGCACATGACAGTTTTAACTTTGCCAAATGGATGCAAAATTGCCGAATTGGAATTGAACATTCTAAATCGATCATGTCATAATAATTAAAGTTATCTTGTAATTACCCTCCCTAAGTGTAGACTTCTCTTTTCACGGGGCATAAGTAGCCCAGCAGTTTCCCACTTTAAGCTGACACACCATTTGAAATACTGTGGAAAGCGTGGTCAAATGCATTTCACTCATTCATTCGCTCTTTCTCCAATAGCGTTGGAACAAACGGTAGTCTGTGTTGGCAGTCATCGAAATGGAGTAGACAGCTTCCTCATCGTCTGTGAGTATATCTGGATTAACTATAACTTTGGAAAGGGTTTTGTAGCTTTTATTTACAAGAGATTCTTTCTAGATATAATACTTTTCCAATAACGAAAGAATTATATTTTGCAGAGGTTCGTGTCTCATAACCATGTTTCATCTGTACACACTAGACCATAGATTACCTAAAGTAAAGATAGTATTTAGTCATCTAACAGTATTTTACTTCTGAATCAAAAGCAGGTAATGACCAACTGAATTAAATTTCGTAATACATTCTGGTCTTTTGTGGTATGCTGTCTATCAAATCCTGACTCTTTGACTACGAGTTTTTGGCGATTTTGTAATATACATGTTAAAATTTAGCTGCTTATAATCTTGATGTTATACTTTAATGATTATATGAAAATTAAGTAGCAAAGGGTATTATTGATCTCCATTTTTCCTCAGGTCCCAGACTGAAGATGTGTATACAACGGGTAAACACACGGTGGTGCAGCGTAGAGAATGGAGAGTTAAGCAACATGCCGTCAGACAGTCTACAGGAAGAGTCAGGCCAGCTTCGTTTTCGAAAATTTTGGGGCACTTCCTGCTCCGAGCCGCTCCACCCAGCACCTTGTCAAGTCCACCATGAACCTACGTATTGGGAGGTGGAAGCTGACATCGCTGGTATTGATGACGAATCCTTGAAATCTCAAAATAAAGAACCAATTTTAGAGACAGGAGTTGTCGAGGAGGCGGTATTGGACACACGCGCCTTTATGTCAGCTGGTGAATTGTCTTGGTGCGTTGTTTTGTGTTTGTGTTCCAAGCACGACTGCATATGCAAACAGATATGGCAGCATGGACAACATATCAAGTGTGTCACCATCTCAAAAGCAGAAACTGTTATGAGATTCGGCGTTGTATTGGATGCTGTAAGGTCGAAACTTACGTTTCTAGACATTTTAAAGAATGATATATTGAGGGTGTTTGATTTAGAGCATACTTCACCGTTGTGGTTGACCTTTGGCGTGTCAACAAAGATACCTTTCTCTGTGAAGCTGAAACTGATCTCAGGAACAGATTTAGAAATGAATGCTCGAAAGAAAGGCCTCATCCTGAAAGCAGTATCACAGTGATAGTTTGAAAAATGATAGTCATTTCACGAACTCGACAACTGTAATTTTAAGGCCTCGTATCCACACTCAAAGGGTATGACAGTATTCTCAAGCAGACCAAATTCAGAAAATCTGAGTAATATACATCTAAAGAAATGCTAAACACTACTCCTTGACTTGGTTGATGCTTGTCAACGTATCCAAATTGCGTGGAGACCCGAGGAGATCCGGGGTGGAATAGGTCTTCAGCAACCCATGCTTGCCGTAAAAGGCGACTTTGCTTGTCGTAAAAGGCGACTAACGGGATCGGGTGATCAGGCTCGCTGACTTGGTTGATTCATGTCATCGATCCCAATTGCGTGGATCGATGCTCATAATATTAATCACTTGATTGTCTGGTCCAGACTCGATAATTTACAGACCGCCGTCATATAGCTGGAATATTGCCGAGTGCGGCGTTAAACAACAAACAAACAACTACTCCTTACTGATGTCCATATACCTTTAACAGCCATGTATCACGTGGACAAATGTCCATATGGCATTAATATCATTTTAATATATGTCTAACATACCATGGACACCAGCTTGAAGGCTGGGAATAGAACAAAGTATGGTGCCCTCCGTTGGTTTAGTGCTGGTTCACATCATATAAGTAAGTTATATAAGTAAGTGAATGAGTTTCGTTAAACGCCGCTTTGAACAATATTCTATACCACACGAAAGCTTGATGAAAGGGTAAAACCCACACTGATGAAGGGTTAACACGTTTACTTCTTTGTTGAAACCAATGATCATCTGTATGGTGCTGACAAACCTAAATATATGACCGGGCAAAACTGGGATTCGAACCACCGGTCTTCATTTCTCGACCACTTCGACGACTGGGCCAACCGTGTTACCTCATTTTATATATAAATCTAAGGGCACACAAATAACTATTCCCATGGAACACTAAGACAACATGTAAGATAATCGATTTCGGTTTCTGAATTTACATAAGTGTATGTGATATTGTGAACAAAACAAAGTGTTTTGTCGGAAACTTTATACAGGATGCGTTTTACAACAAGGTACTTAATCTGGAAATATTTTGTAAGCGGTTCTTAACCCTTTATTAGATGTATAGGGGCGGTCGGGTAACCTAGTGGTTTAAGCGTTCGCTCGTCACGCCGAAGACCCGAGTTCGATTCCCGACATGGGTACAATGTGTGAAGCCTATTTCTGGTGTCCCCCGCCGTGATATTGCTGGAATATTGCTAAAAGCGGCGTAAAACCGTATTCACTCACTCACTACTATATTCTTGTTTAATGACACCCCTGATCATTGGAGTACAGCTCTATAGCACTATAGAAACGGCATTAGGCCGGACTAGTGCAAGCAGCCACACACACACACACGCATGCACGCACGCACGCACACACTCACGCGCGCGCGCACGCACGCACGCACGCACACACACACACTCACACACACATACACACACGCACGCACGCACACACACACACACACACACACACACACGTGCATGAACGTCGCTATATAATATTCATGAGAAATCTCTGCCATTTGAAGTCTGTCTATTGTACGATTCCGCCTGTATCATGAGCATGTGTTTATGAACTTCACTTCATCAGTTATTTTGATTTACAAATTGATTGCAATTATATGTACAATGTCGGAGATTCCTACCTATGTTATGATATTGACCATACGCATCTACGTACGAAAGCAAACAGAGCACCACACACACACACACACACACACACACACACACACACACACACACACACACGCGCGCGCGCGCGCACACACATACACACGCACACACACACACACGCACGCACACACACACATACACACACGCGCGCGCACACACGCACACATACACACACACACACGCACGCACACACACACGCGCACACACATACACACGCACGCACACACACATACACACACACGCACGCACACACACGCACACACACACACGCGCGCGCGCACGCGCGCACGCACACGTGCATGAACGTCGCTATATATGTGGAATAATCTTGATCGCGATGTTAAACTACATTTAACCTCATCTCACCCAACAGGTTTGCGTGAAAATAGAATGAACAGGGCCTATTTCACATTTTGTATGATATAATACGCAGGACAATTGACTATTTGACTCAATCTGTTATTTCGGCTTCATCGAATCATATAGGTGATACACTGACTTGCAAAATGTCGGTAAATGACTCGATGACCTTACGCTCTCGATGACCTTCACTGTATTAACACCATACATACAGAACCAGGGAGCCACAAGGTCATGTCACCAATTTGTTGTCAATAGTTTGGAAAAGAAACACGTGGATAAAGCCGTAGTCATTTTACATCACCTTTCCAAAGTTACAAACACGTAGAGTTACCTCCCTTATATTGTAGCGAACTAGAAGTCAGTTATCAGTTTTTCAGTCGTTGTTCTATAATATCCATGTTTTCAAAGCCAAATTTTCAAATTCTAGGAATCCAGATACAGGCTTCTTACATTCTTATGCGACCATATATGTCCTATTGCGTTGTGTGTTTATCTCAACATGGTGTTGACAGTTACTTCTACACTGACAGCGTATCCTTCAACTTGAATGGGGTGGCCCTGCCGTCTTAGGCACCGAGTTGTTTCCATTGGTCACGCCCCGGTTATGTTTCTAGGTGTGTCAGAACAATACTCACCACTTTGGTTCTACTTAAGTGGTTAACGTCTGAGACTTGCATCACTTCGGGCTTTCCTCACACATTAAGCTGACACGCCGTGATATAACTGGAATACTGTCATCAGCGGTTAAGCCCAACTCATTCACTCACTCTACTTAAGTGGTTAACGTCTGAGACTTGCATCACTTCGGGCTTTCCTCCCACATTAAGCTGACACGCCGCGATATAACTGGAATACTGTTAAAAGCGGCGTTAAACCCAACTCACTCACTCAAATTGAAAGAGTGAATCTTTGTTGTTTTATTGTTAAAAATACTTGTTGTCAAGGTGTATCGTTAAAAATGAATGTACAATGATATGTCCTTAAAAGTAAAGTTGCCAAAGCTGTATTTGCAACTCTTCTTACAGAAAATGTTGCCATGCTGGATTCTTGAAAGCGAATGTTGCCAAAATGTAGTTTTTATATGGAATATTGACAAAATATTGCTTTGACAGTGAAATATTGTCAAAAAGTAGCTTTGAAAGTGAATATTGTCGAAATATAGCTGTGATAGTGAATGTCATAATGTATCCTTTAAAGAATATTGTCAAAATTTGCTTTGATAGTAAATTTTGTCCAAATGAAGCCTTGTCAGTGGATATTGTCAAAATGCAGCTTTGATAGTGAATATTATCAAAATGTAGCTTTGATAGTGAATATTGTAAAAATGTAGCATAGATAGTTGATATTGTCAAAATGTAGCTTTGAAAGTGATGATTGTAAAAATGTAGCTTTGATAGTGAATATTGTCAAAATGTAGCTTTGAAAGTGAATATTGTTAAAATATAGCTTTGATAGTGGATGTTATCAAATATAGCTTTGATAGTGAATATTATCCAAATGTAGCCTTGACAGTGGATATTGTCAAAATGTAGCTTTGATAGTGAATATTGTCAAAATGTAGCTTTGAAAGTGAATATTGTTAAAATATAGCTTTGATAGTGGATGTTATCAAATATAGTTTTGATAGTGAATATTGTCCAAATGTAGCCTTGAAAGTGATGATTGTAAAAATGTAGCTTTGATAGTGAATATTGTCAAAATGTTGCTTTGAAAGTGAATATTGTTAAAATATAGCTTTGATAGTGGATGTTATCAAATAAAGCTTTGATAGTTAATATTGTCAAAATGTAGCTTTGATAGTGGATTTTGTCAAAATGTAGCTTTGATAGTGAATATTATGATAATGTAGCTTTGATAGTGGTGATTGTCATAATAGACTCATGTCAGATTCGGTCCCAATAGTGCCAAGCTGTTATTACATATGAAAATGTATCCTAGACAACATATCAGCTATCAAGATGGTAAAAGGTGGTACTTGTTGTTACCGTGTCTGATGGTCGGCATTAAGGGTTAAAACAAGGACTGATCTGCAAAGAGTCAGTACAATGTGTCCGAGTCGCGGTTCCATATATTTGAGTCGACTAGCACTACACAACTGCCATTTGTCTGGACTAGTACAGCAAACGTACACACATACACGTGCATGCACGAAGCTAAATAAGTGAAACAATCTTGAACGCTACGTTTAATCCAATTTCCTAACCTATATCACTTAGTCTGCCATACAAACCCTGATACAAATATATCCAATACAGCCCATGCAAGTCTATAATGTTTGACAAGTCTAGATTACTGCTGTATCTGAAGATGAAGAGAATCTCTGGGCTTCGTTTTATTATATTTTTAATGAGATAATTCAACAACTGGTTTTTTTCTGTAAGATATGTTCATTTCAGAGACTAGATGTTAGTCTATATATCACTCTGCCAACCTTAATTATCACGAAAAAACATTGGTGGTGTAGTATGCGGCAACGTAATAATTAATTCCATTCTACTAGCTTTAATCATCACAAGACCGCCTCCGTGGTCTAGTGGTATAGCGTCTGCCCGGAGAGCGGAAGCGGGTTCGATCCCCGGCCGCGTTATACAAAAAGACGTTAATAGATGGTACTTGTTGTTACCCTGTCTGGTACTCTGCATGAATAGGCTGAGACAAGGACTGGTCGGCTCGGAGTCAGTATACTGTGTCTGAGTGGGGTATTCATGTTCAACTGCGGCACGGTGCATGCACGTTGCAATATAAGTGCAATCATCTTGAACGCGTTGTTAAACCCCATTTCATCTCACCTCATCTTTAATTATCATATGCCTCTGGTGGTGTCGTCGGCAACAACGTATTAGCAATACAACTCTACTAGCCTTAATCAAGACTAGTAGTTCATAGCTCGTCTGTAACAACTTAGTCATATCCTATTCATATCCTATTCTTTTTTCTGAAAAATCCAATTGCAAACTTATCATCGGCTAATTTTGAGGCTTTCAATCCATTTTCCACTTGACAGCAACTCCACAATACGAGATACCTTGAGTGATATCATGGTTATTGCTTGATGGCTAACTCTATCAGGAAAGAGACAGATACTTATAAGAAAGAAAAATATCTCCAATACACATTTATTTAAATGCTTCATCAGATATTGTAAAACGAAAAGATGCGTAATTTTATGTAAAAATAAATTGGTTCAATGAATTTCAACCACATGACCCCTAA